CTGAGTGACCAGACTTCTTCACGAAATCTTTAAACCTCAACCATGAATAAAACCTAAAGTTAACAAGGCTTCCCCGAGACGGATCACAAAAGCCCCGCTTACAAAGATTGCGCCAAATGGTCCGGCGCCGCTCTCCTATCTCCCCGGTTAGATAAGTGATAACCACCTTCGTACTATCCCTGTACGCCCATGGACCATTAAGATCGGATGTTGCGCCTAACAGATCAGTCTGAACGGATTCTATAACTATATCACTATTGCTGCGTTCTTCCAGCTCTTCGAGCATGGCGCGCGTCAAAAATGAAACTCTGTTCAAGTCTGAGGGGTTAGTTAGCCTAGATGACACGGGACGATTAATATCTGGTTCGCTGTGCACTGATGGTGCACTTTCCCTGTCGGACCCTATCTCAGGGGGCGTCTGACATGCATTGGTATCTAATCCCGCATCCTCCGCGAATGTGTCTGCGAGTGTATCACTGGCAGCGGTCATCTCTTCATTGGGAGCGCTGCCAGTCGAGGGACGCCCCGTTCGCCACCCACGATTCCTTCCCTTACCCCTCCCACGTCGAACCCTGTCAGATGAGGCCGATGGCTCAGAGGCCGGGGAGCGAATCGTTGAAAGGCTAACGTTCAAATCATTGGGACTCACACTACGCGATGGCGCTCGCTTTGCTGATTTCCTACCTCTGTTTCCCCTGCCGCGACCCCCGAAGACTCCACGGGCCCTTCCCCTACCCGCGGGCCTGGCTGCACCACTCGATTCCGGCTGAATCACTACTAACCGCGGGGGGAACTGGATCTGCGGAGCGCCGTCTTCAAGAATATCTACAGTTACAGCACGATTGGGAGAAAGCCCGTTTTCAACCATCCCACCCCTGCCACGACCGCGCTTAGCCCTACCAACCTCGGCCCACGGCTCATCAGCCGGCTTCTGAGCCTCGGAGCCGACTACGGTACTACCTACTCGTTCGTCTACTGTTAGCAGGGGTGACTGTACACTGTGTGCACAGTCACCGGCACTGAGCATCGGCACTGAGCTCGACACTCCGGTGACAATTTTCTTTGGGACCTCTACAGCCGTGGTGACCTCTACAGGGGAAGATACCACAGGCTCAGATGGAGCCGGGACCGCTTGGCTGATGCCTACACTACCTATCACGAGATCGAACGCCTCCTTGTGGGAGGCGAACGTCCTTTTTCCCCTACCACGCACCGTTTTAGCTGTCTTGGCGCGTTTGGGACGGCGCGAGGCGGACACTGCGGGGGTCTGGGCGCTATCGGTGGGGGGTTTCTTGACCTGCGTTTCGCGGGTCACCTGGGATGGCTGGGGGGATGACCTAGGCGGCACAGCATAGAGGTCATAGTGACCACCGTCTATTACCCCCGTGTACCGCACATGAATTTCGGGGTGATCCGGGTTCCCATGGCGCTGCATAACTTGCCCATTGCGCCAGACGACGATGCGGCGCCTCACGACGGCAGCCGCCGCGGTCAGCTCCGGCTCGGCGCCCCACTCTGCCCTTGGAATCACCATTCTATACAGGTACTCTTCAAAATCTCCTACGATGAACCCCTCAAAGTCTGCGCGGTTAGCCCACATGTACGTCACTACCATGAAACGCAACATTTCCGCGTCGATGACCCCACCTCCGACGCCGCGCGAGATAGCATGGAACATACAATCCCCATCCATGGGCATGTTGATGATGTTTTGGCTTTGGGGCCCACCTCCCGTTTTAACAACCTCCGCATAGGTGCTTCCAGCCATGTTTTTGTGTGTGTGTAGAAATACAACCACAACAAAAGGCCAACTGGCTAACTGATCTGCGAACCAATGCAGATCCAAGCAAGAAGATGTTTAAACAAAAATCAAGATGCGTGCAGGAAAAAAGAACTACAAACTGGCGCAACAGGCGCAAACAACAAGAGGAAGTTGGCAGTTGTGTGTGGCCGTGTGCCTCTCAGAACTGCTCGGCAGACAGGACAGGACAGGCCTGGAAAAGGAAACATCCCATCAGATGTTAGGACCGCTGAGAGATACATTCTTGTGGGGCGACATCCGAGAAGGGACACGGGTGGGGACACTTGGGGTTGGGGGGTGGGAAGTTGTAGCCACAACTGCAAGGTAGGAGGGGGAGGAGCAGTGGAGGCGGAACACTTTCAATTAAGGGGGGACACTGCCGACCTTTGGTCCCATTCTTTCCATGCAACGCCCATAGGGCTAATGCCCCTAGGCCTAATGGCAGCGTGCGTGGTCATCGGCGCCCATAAAAAGCAAGTTATGAAGTCTTGCATCCAAAACCAGTGTCCAACTCTGTTCATCTATGTACACGTACAATGTCCTCAAAAGCAAGTTACGAAGCATTACATCTAAAACCAGTGTCCAACCCTGTTCATCTGTGTGCCCTGGACTCTGGAGGACTTTGAAGCAAGTCTTCATTATGTTAAGATTGATTTTCGGAACTTGTCAAATTTCAAAACTCAATCATTTCAGTTTTTACAGATAATCATATAGATAATTCATGAATAAATCTTAATAAAATCAATTAATGAAATGCTGGTTCAGTTTTTCCCTTTACCGGTCTCGCAGAGCATGGGCGTAGGAACCTCACAAAAAGTGGAGAGGGGGCAGAGGAACTTCAATGTCACGTTATGGGAGCTCCAATACCCCTATGAAGTTCTTTTTAGTTTTGTGCTCATCTCACCTTCTGAACGATTTTCTGCTCTGAGTATTGTGTTTAAATAAAAAATAACGGTCATACTTAAAATGGTTGAAAAGTGGCTATGAGTTGACCCCCACCCCCTGTTCATACGCCTAGATCGCAGAGGGTTTCTGGGATTGCATGCCATTTGGGCCCCAAACGAGTCCCACCTGGGTCCCAGTTGATATTCATTTTGGCCCCAAGTGGGCTTTTTAGCGAATACCCGTGTAAGCCTGAGCTGGAAAAGCCCATATGGGCTAAATACAGGCCCCATCTGGGCCAAATATGGACCCCTCTGGGGTGCCCAGATGGGACCCAGATGGTTAAAAGTGTAGAAGTCTGAATGAAGATAAAAACATAATCTGACCTGATTTAACCTAGCGTACTCACCTACCAACCTAAAAACTACAGCCTGACAATCCATAAAATGCCAACCTACAACATATTTTCAGACCTTTTAAATACCAATAACCCCAGCTGGATACCCATGACATATCCATCTGACAATCTGAGTCTGTGGTGGGCAGCCCGGATGGCCCCACTTTGGTGCAGTGCACACTAGGGGCCTCAAACAAATCACATTTTTTAGAGCAGATACATGGCAAATTTAATAAATGCCATTTTCCATAATTCATTATGGAAAAAACTTTTGCATAATAGCAAAGATTTCAAATACCGTAAAATGGGGTGTTAAGGGACAGTGGGGTGTTAAGGGACAGCTGCATGGGAAAAACTTTGAGTCATATTAACTTCCTAATTTGAGAAGGTTCAATAAAAACTTCAGTGTGGTAGTTGACACTGTTTTGCTCTTGACCATAGGAGAAAATGGTATGGTTTTTCATGCAAGTGATTTGGTTCAAAAATGGATTTGAAAATCGTGCTACATTTTCACAAAATTGAAACATCTCCAAAACTCTGTGTGTACCACATAAACTAGTGGGTGTACAGGGAAAATGAATGCATAGGTGTATTGTCACATGTATTGCACATGTTTCCTGAAAAACTTGTGCAAATCCACCCATTCATTCATCATCCTCTTCCTCTTTTCCGGATACATGCATATTTTGAGGTGAATGTGGGGTGCTAAGGAACAGGGAAGAAAAAAATAAAAATAATATCTAAATATAATTTAATTAAGTAGGCATGGAAAACACTAAATTCCACATAAAATGCTGGCAAGTTCATGCTTTTATCTCTAACACATCTGAAGTTATGTAACAAAACATCTCAACACTCTCTTTTACAATGATGGGTCAATGGAGACTGATGTAAGTAAATGTGATGTCATCATAAAAAGGCTAAAACAAAGAGGGCAACATAATGACAAGTGACAAGCTTCAACATGGGTTTTTATTGATGACAGAAGATTACTTTTTGGTTCTGTTTACCTTATAATTAGCACATTTTCAACAAGCGTAAACTGCATTACACGTAATTGGCTAAAAAGGTCATTAGTGGTGAATGAACCTGACTTGTTTTGTGACAGAATATGCAAAACATTTCAATTAATAAATTGTGTGCCCTTCCACACCCCAATTGTGGGCATTTGATGACCATTTCTTGGAATAATATAGGTGTCCCTTAACACCCCACATTGGGGTGCTAAGGGACAGTGATGAAAAATAATAAAAAATAATATGCAGGTATAAATCTTAAAAACTTTAATGTGGCAGGCATGTAAAGCACCAAATTCCACATAAAATGCTGACAATTTGATGCTTCTATCTCCAACCCTTCTTGAGTTATGTAACAAAACACCTCAAAACTGTCCCTTAACACCCCATTTTACGGTACTGCTTCACCTGACAACAGAGCTAATGCAAAACAGAAGTTGGGAGGCATTGCATCTGATGATTCAATGGCTACTTTTTTTGTCAGTGATCTCTGCTATTTTTGTTCAGATCCGACTATTTTCAAGTTCATTATTTGAAAATAGTCGGATCTGAACAAAAATATCAGAGGACATTCTCAGCACTATTCTAATCATGAATGTGCCAGGCATTTGATGTGCATTTGCTTCAATTAGGGTGCAGATCTGCTTTTGTATGGGGCCGTACCCAAATCTGCTATATTTGGGTACGATGTCGTCACATGCGTACCCATTTTTAGCAGATTTCTGCTTAAAATAGCAGACTGCTAAAAATAGCAGATTTTACCATAGTTTCCCCAACTGTAGCGTGATGGACAGTGGCTCTGTCTTTTTCCCACTCACAAGGCCAAAGGGACAATTCTTAGTTTTAAGGTAACACTTTTTGCAAACCTACCACATTTATCTACCTTTTTCAAGAAAAATCTCACCGTCATGGGCCTTTTTTCAACCGTAACGATACATTTGAAGTCAAAAGTGTACCCAAATGAATCAAAAAATTGATTCCATGCCCATATTTGGTCATGGCTCCTCCCACCAGAATAAAACTATTGATGCCTCCATATTTTTATTCCAAAAGTCTAGTTTGCCCAACTGATGTGTTTATTTTGTATAAATTGCTACTCATCAACTCTTGAGATATTTACACAAAAGTCCACTGCGTGCTGGTAACACAGACCTGGCACAAGCTACCATATGCACGGAATTGCATCTTTCTCACCAAACCAAAAGGGTGGTGTTTCACCATTGATAGCAACACGCTGCTATTACACATGTCAAATCGGTTTTCTATGGAGACGTCAACAAGCCCATTGCTCCAACCATAAGTGTGACATCAGCTCGCAAAATGGAATAGCAGCATGCTGCTACAACCGGTAAAACACTGACAAAAAACAAATCAAATCAAACCTTACCTGCTACCTACAGCCTACTTTTTAGAACCTACAACCAACATATCACAAATGGCAGCTCGTGCCGTCTGCCCTGATACCAAATGCCTTACAAAAAGTTATGAGCTTAAAGCCCTTTCCAAAATATATAACAGAACAGGTGGACATGCCATGAGTACCTTAAATGTTTTATCTCAGCATTTTACATCAGCATCCAGCATGTAGGGAGGAAAATGATTGTTTTCAAATTTCAGCTCAAGCTTCAAGTGCGTTATATATGCGTCGGAATTGCCGCATCATAAACTTCTAGCCATTAATAGCTTCAGCATGGGAGAAAAGCAAAAAACAACACTATCCATATTTTCCACAACCAATAACATTAATTTTGGCATCATACATACACTTCGTAATGTCAAATTTCCACTTAATATCTATCCGAATAAAATGTCAACCACCCACCTTCTAGCTCATGCCCAAGCAGGCCGTTAGAAGTGGCGGGAACGCCGGGAACGATTACTTTACTGCGGGAACAAGTGTACTTTTTAATTATTCAAATTTTGGCCTGCAAACTGGAGCGACAGACCCTTATTTGTTTGTATAACTTCTTCAATTTGATCATATTATTAATAACATGGCAGCAAATGAAAAATACTTGAAATATTTTCAATGAAAGCTGTGGTTGCAAATAATTATGTTATTATTTAAGTCATTGATATAAATATGAGCTACAACTTGGCGCATATGTGGCACTAATGATTCATTTGAAGCTTTTTGTAAACACTTTTGAAGTGTGCATATTTTTATCCCCAACAGAAATCACAAACAAGGTCTGCAATACCGGGCGAGTATTCAACAAGCAGATGAGAAGAGCAGACGTGCCAATGCTGCTCTTGAAAATGAAAAGTTTGATCGATTTTAATAATTTCTGCACAATTCGATAGCGGAGACCGAGGATCGTTGCCGTTTTTCGGTGATAGATTACTCTGGGCGGACCAACAGGCAACAAGAGTGAGGACCAAATCGGTCCAGGTTCCAGAACCCCCCCCCCCCCGCTAAAAGCAGACGAGCCCATATGGCTGTTCGGGTCCCTGCAGCATAGATCTGTGTACTGTGTGCGTCATACTTGGGTGACGTCAGCCGCCCGGCTCCACCCACCCTCCACCGGCACGCCGGGGCCGAGCGCCGCTGCAGCCTGCAGCCTATTCCAACCGTGGCGCTGAGGAACTAGTGATTGTCGTTCAAATAACGGTTAAAATGCGTTCAAATGTGGTCAATAACCCATGTAAAGACTTGCTCACCTCAATCAGTTCACTCTATATTGACTCAAGCCATATCAAGCGAGCGCAATACAAACTATGTAGAGCACCAGACAGCGCAGAGGTCCCCAACTCACTGGCTCACTGCTCGCCCAGTCCATCGGGGCCGGCGCCACGACGGCCCCCCGCAAGTAGGCAGCCCGCACTCTACCGGCAGCCGCGGGCAGCACGCTCGTCTTTTCCGCGAAGCTCTAGCTAGATCAGGGGCCAAACGCGAGGGGGTCGTCCCTACCCCCTTAACCCCCTTGTGCCGTCGAAGGACGCAAACTGGCCTGTGCCGGCGAGGGTTAAGTTTGTCGAGAGATGCGTAGGGATGACAGACCCGAGTCTAATTTTTGCTTGAGATCCAGTGAGATCATAGATCCTCATTTACTTTTGTCAACTCAGAAATCCCAGCAAATCACTCGTTGCAACTTGCAAGTCACAAACGTTCAGTTTTAGAGCTTCTATGTGATTGCACGTCATATCCACAATTTTGTGGCACTTGACATAGAAACACTTGGAAACCCTGGTTTCAAATGCTGTGCATGGAAGGATCCACTCAGATCATAGATCAAAGTTCTTGGTTTATCGTCAGATCGTATCAGATCATAGATTCAGATTAAATTTTTCACGCTGAATCCCGTGGGGCCATAGATCCTAACCTGCAGTTTCCTTCGAGGTCCATAAAGATCATAGATCCATCACTCGGACCCATGCACGTGTCTGATAGGAGGGTCCCTTTGAAAAAGCGAAACGGGCACGTCAGTTCCCTTTTTAGTTCCTTTGTTTACTCCCATGTGTACCGACGGATCGGCCAAATCTGGCACCAAGAACAGATGAGGCGAAGCTCTACTCCAGCTGAACTGAGATGGCCGCGAGCTGGAGACGATGTTGCCGGCGGGCGTGCATCTGCTGCAGTAGAGCTGAACTGGTGGCGATGCTGGCCTCCCCCACCTGCCTGCGGAGAGCCGATCCGCATTGGTCGTACTCCCGCTCAGGAGTCCAGCTCCTGCAGCGCAGCCCGGATGCTCAGCAGCTCATCAGGGTCGCATCTTTGCAGTGATGATGATCGCGATGGAAAGTGTTTGTGAGTGTTCAGGCATTTGCATTCAAATATACATGTTTTAATCATAAAGCGTTTAATCACAGAAAGGATTTCGTAGACTGATCACAGTAGGTAATATTTGGACATTACTTTCCGAAATCGAACCGAGACAGGGCATTATCCCCCCGCGCCTCAGACACGTATGGCCAATGACCATGCATCCGCGCAGCTCTGCGCCGGCCGTTACTGGGGGTCGCCGGTAGACTGGGGAGGGAGCCGCCTCTGTTCAGGCGCATTGCAGGGGCGCAGCCAAAGGGGGGCACACTGGTCTTAAACCCCTCCCAAATCTAGCAGGCGCCCTCTTCGAAGACGATCATTTCCTTTCCAGTGTCCAACATCGACGGTAGCCAATGCGGTACACCACGCGGCACTGGCGCTAAAGGCAGCCGTCCACTGGTTAATCTCCGTCCACGCGCTGAATTTAGCATTGAAGTATATGGGCTGCGCGCCGAATGCCGTTCAGCGCCGAATGCGCGATGAATCGCAGTCAGCCGATTATTTGGCGGCTGTTGGGCGCCGAATCACGCGCCTCACGACTAAAAATCACTCTACGACTCCTGACGACCTGAAATACTTCAACTTTTCAGCGCGTTCTAGGCACTGGACGATTACGCGGAAATTGCGCACCTAACCAGTGGACGGCGGCCTTAAAGGAAAAGGGCCACCTTCGTGAAATATGAAGATATTGTTGTTTTTCATATCGACATTATTATTTTTCATTTTCTTTTTAAAACTGGTGCCAGAAGTGCATAATTCGCGAAAAAGTATTTAAAACTATTTAACATATTGGTACTATGTTGATACTCTCTACGGCAGGTCTACTGTATGATGGCATAGCGATGACGTCACACTCAAGCCAATCAGCGTTCAGCAGACAGACTCGTCGGATTGTGTCAGATAAGCTGATTGGTTAAAGCTGAGCTGATTGGAGCTGATTGGTAAAAAACCAAAGCCTCGCCGCGGGTGGCTGTATTACAGGGTAAGGACGCATTCCTGGGATAAGGACGCATTCCTCTTTTAAAATTGCCGATACCTACGAATGGAAGCCGATATCGGCCGTAAGGAGATAGACTGAAGGGTTTTCGGACACGGGCTACAAGATGGCTATCTCAGTTTCAATCCCCATGTTAAAGGTGGCCCTTTTCCTTTAAGGCTTACAATTTTATATCTTTTATGAGTGAAGACGCGAAATTGACGCCCTTCCAACCCGAAATTGGCGCCCTACTGAGCCAAAATTGGCGCCCTCATCAATTCAATTTCAAGCCCCCTCCGAATTTTTCCCTGGCTGTGCCCCTGGCGCATTGATGTCCTCCTTCGAGCCGATTGGAGGAGCCTCCAGCGCCAGCCTTCCGCTTGTCAGCCAAGAACCCTGAGCAGACCATTTGAGTTTAACATTCCTTGGCTCGGATCATCAGGATGCCGTCATTGTCTTTGATCAAAACTAACATGAAATTCGCGATCAGCACTCCGAAATAACTCGCAATGCCCCCACTTTACGTAGTTCCCAAAAGGTCCCGATTTTAGGTGATTACCTAAACTGACTTTGGAAAGTCCACTAATGACCTTGGACTTCCAAATTGGATATGTTCTGTCTTCTCTCGTCATGGGCAGCACGCTCGACGGCGACCAACTCTTCCAAAATGTGGCGGCCAACTCTGGCTGACACGTGTCACGTGAAAGATTGTGCGATGTGCGGCGAAAATGGCGCCTTGCGAGTTGCGACAAACGTAGCACATCTCGGCAAACGAGGCGCCTCTTTGCTTCTCGTTTAAGCGTGCATCCCTCCGCCAAATAATATCATAATCGGACCATATTTGGCAAAGTTGTGGACATATTGCGTTTTGCGGCATAAATGGCGCATTGGACAAAGGTGGTGCATTGCGGCAAACGCGGTGCATTGTTATTGTCGTTAGAGGATGCATCATAACGCCAAATCGCATCCTAATCGGACCATGTTCGACAAAGTTATGGACACTTATCGACTTGCGGCGAAAATGGCGCACTGTGACAAATGTGGCGCATTGCGACAAACGCGGTGCAGTTGTCCTTGTTAATTAATAATGCATCCATCCACCAAAATCTAGTCCAATCGGACCATATTTGACAAAGTTATGCATATTTAGTATTTCGCTATGAAGTATCTCCGCCACGAAGGTACCCATCTTCGCACGTGTGTCACGTGACCACTGGTGGTGTAAGCAGGACTTGTCCCCTCACTGATTGCACCATTTCAGGCTTCTTAACTGGTGCAGTTTACGTGCTATAAGGCCACAAATCGGACAACACACGATAATCTGGGAGGTACGTGACTCAAACACGTGGCCACGTGGCACGTGCCGGACCTCTGATAGCTTCACCGTTCACGCCACGTGATGACCCATCGACGTGGCCATCAGCATGTAAAAGATGACCCCGGCCGGTGTCATCGTCTCTGAACAGTGGACGGCTAAACTCGAAAAACGGGAAAATTTAGGGAAATTTCACCTTTCAAACATATAATTCCCCCATAATTTTTAATTTTTCATTTTAAGAAAAATCCGAGATAGCAGTTTTCTAGCCCCCTTCATTCTGTGCCTATACCCGTTTTCAGATCGACCCTATCATAAAAACTGACGGCCTGACGGCTATTTCCCCCATTCCTTGCATTTCACAATGCTAGTATATTTAAGCACCAAAATTGACCCCGTGCCACGGCACGTGCAATAGCACGTGCGCCACGTGACCACTAGTGCGACAAGCTGGACTCATCTGCTCACCGGCTGCGTTGATTTGGTGTCGCTAGGTGGAGTGGTTTCCACGCCATAGGACCCCCAGTTGGCCAATGTCGGATTTTCCCGGAGGTTACCCCATCAAACACGTTTGCACGTGGCACGTGCTTTTCAATCGCCCCATATCTGACCCATACCATGTGGTAGCCGACACTCCGGGGCACAACATATTGGAACATTTTCAAAATCTAACGTGGAAATTTTTTGCAAAATCGATTTGAAAATAATTTTTCAAATTCGCCATAGGCTCAACATGGGGTAACTGTTCGTGACGATTACCCGAAATTTTGTCAATTATATTTTAAATAATTACCACCGTCAGTTGGGGTGCCTGCCCGAGATCCGACCCTAAAAATATCAGCAAATATAATTGACGAAATTTTTCGCAAATCGAATTTCCAATTTTCCCCCATGTTAACCCTATGGGAAAATGCACGTGCCGATTACCCCAAAACGGGTTAATTATATTTCAAGCGACCGATGCCAGCCGGTAGCTCCCCGATACGGGACCAAACGCTGAAAAAAGCAAGAAAATCTACCGAGCCGTTTCGGCGGCGATCAAAATGTCCAAAATCGCGGCAGAAACGCTAAACACCCCCCTAGAGAGGTAGCTCAGGTTGGGATTTTCAATAGAAAATCACAATTCTAAAGAATAGTGATTGTCTAATTGAAAAGTCCCAACCTTCGGATATTCCCCCATGTTAACCCTATGGGAAAATGCACGTGCCGATTACCCCAAAACGGGTTAATTATATTTCAAGCGACCGATGCCAGCCGGTAGCTCCCCGATACGGGACCAAACGCTGAAAAAAGCAAGAAAATCTACCGAGCCGTTTCGGCGGCGATCAAAATGTCCAAAATCGCGGCAGAAACGCTAAACACCCCCCTAGAGAGGTAGCTCAGGTTGGGATTTTCAATAGAAAATCACAATTCTAAAGAATAGTGATTGTCTAATTGAAAAGTCCCAACCTTCGGATACAGACTACTCTCAGACATTTTATGGAGCATAATTAGAGCATTGACATGCATGTGCGCGCGGAATAAATTGATGATGGTTTGCTTGAGTCCACGTTCTGTGACCAGCCGACGCAAAATTACCACGCAACCTACATGTAACTTTGCCAGCCTGTAGCTCCCCCATACGGGACCAAACGCTGAAAATGGCAAGAAAATCTAACTATCCGTTTTCGAGGGATTCAAAATGTCCTAAATCGCGGCAGAAACGCTAAACACCCCCCTAGAGAGGTAGCTCAGGTTGGGATTTTCAATAGAAAATCACAATTCTAAAGAATAGTGATTTGTCTTAATTGAAAAGTCCCAACCTTCGGATACAGACTACTCTCAGACATTTTATGGAGCATAATTAGAGCATTGACATGCATGTGCGCGCGGAATAAATTGATGATGGTTTGCTTGAGTCCACGTTCTGTGACCAGCCGACGCAAAATTACCACGCAACCTACATGACATGGAAAAGTTTTTCATAGCCTATATGCATGTCCAGAAATTATCTTAATCACTCAAAAAACAGTCGGTTTAGAGGAAGTTGAAATTTGTCCCAATTTATCTGCCCCACCCTGTGGGCCCTGGAATAGAGCGAGAGGCTGAAGACGCTTTGTCTATATGATAACATGCTTATTTTCTAAATTTATATCTGGACTAGGTGTAAACCAAACCTCCCGTAACTACTCAGTACCTATTACCCCATGGAAAACAATGGTTTAGTGGCATTGATTCGGTTGGGGGTAAGCTCGGCCACTCGCCCGGGGTTACCAAAATGTGCCAATTTTATCCAGAATTGGAGGATCAAAAGCATGCGATAGCATTTATGCCTACCAGAGGGGATAGCATTTCCGTTGCGCCTCTGCTGTTCTCCATTGCTGGGCGGGGGACGTGTTCAGGGTTCACTGTTCCGCGGCGGAGGCCGGCCGGCGGGTGGGCCGGCGGGCGGGCGGGCGGGCTTACCCTGCTGCCGATGATGTCCAGCAGGTGGGCCTGCTGGCCGCTCTGCGAGCTGTCCCGCTGCTCGGGGAAGCGGAGCTGGTACGGCTCCGAGGAGGGCCCGTCGAGTACGTCCCGCACGGCCGCGATCAGCACCGGGTCGTCCTGACCCAGCACCAGCGGCCCGCGCAGCAGGTCGCCGTAGGTGCGCGGCACCGGCCGCAACAGAGGGTCGCCTGCGGCCGCCACCCGTGCCCGGTGAACGGGGAGTTCACACGACGGGAAACGGCCGCCACCCGTGCCCGGTGAACGGGGAGCACACGACGGGAAACGGCCGCCACCCGTGCCCGGTGAACGGGGAGCACACGACGGGAAACGGCCGCCACCCGTGCCCGGTGAACGGGGAGCACACGACGGGAAACGGCCGCCACCCGTGCCCGGTGAACGGGGGGCACACGACGGGAAACGGCCGCCGACAGCGGCGGGCAACATGCACGTCTGCTAAGGGACGCATGGTGTTCAACGAACCAGTTCTGATTAACAGAAGAATCCTGGTGTAATACTGAATGTCTTTGGAATGAATATGAAATGATCTTTTACATACTCGCGAATTACATAGGTAACGTAAAACCACAAACCTGGCAGGATTACGGCGAAGCACAAAATGACTGCCGAGGCGATTAAAAACATCAATACGAGGCGGCCTTTGCTCGCTTTGAGGCGTAACCTTCCCTCCATTTTCTTTTTTTCTGTGGAAAAAAAATGTAGGTAGGTAGGTAATAATGACCATGTAACGGGCAGGCCACTCTACAGATACCTACTTGCATTGGAGATCAACTCTGTACACACCACTCGCCGACCACCGTGTGCGGCGGACCGGCTGTTGCATTACTTACCTGTGTGAGCGCTGCTGCGGTCGGTGGTCGGCCGCCGTCTCGGTCTGCTCTGCCGGCGTCTGCTGCGGGCCGTCCGCGGCCCTCTCCGGCCGCCGCTGCGCCCCGCCCCGGTCAGCGACCCCGCTCGGCAGCGCTGCTGCAGCGCTGCACCGCCGCCCGCCGCGGCAGGAGCCCGCCGTCCGGCCACGGAGCCCGCTACCCGGCCACCTATCCGGCCACGGGAGCCCGTCAACCGGCCTCGGCAGCCAGTAGCGGCGGAACACCTTCAATTAAGGGGGGGGGGGGCACTGCCGACTTTTGGTCCCATTCTTTCCATGCAACGCCCATAGGGCTTAGGGCTAATGGTAAAATTATAAAATCAAAGGGGGCACGGTGCCCCGGTGCCCTCCCCGTTCCGCCGCCTATGTCGGGAGCCCGCTACCCAGTCATGGGAGCCTGCCGCCCGGCCACACTCCAGTCGGTGGTTAAAACTAAATTAAAACTGCTCCTTTTGCGCGGCCTAGCTTCCATGCCTACATGTATACGGCGCGGCGAGTCGATTCCATGCGCTCGCAATATTATAGGTACATACGCCGTGGGCGAGTCTGGCCACAGCTGATGGCGCGGGATCAGACCGTCACCGACCTCTACAGCTGTCTGTACAGCTGTCTGTACTCGCAGCGGTGATGTCAGGAGATCAGGAGCGGCGTCGGGGCGTCCTCGTATCTGAACTGCTTGTAATATAGACATAGTACAATAATTACGGAGCGAGCGAAGCGAGCGTAGTCTTTCCTTAGATTAACGGAAACTCCAGATCTCGAGAACGGCTGGCCCGATGGCGCTCAAATTTGGCACATGGTTAGGGACCGGTTAGTAGGGTGCCGTGCAAGAGTCAGTTGGGACCCATTTTGCACGTGCGCACGTGCAGGGTGCCGCTTCCAGATCTCGAGAACGGCTGGGCCGATTGTGCTCAAATTTGGCACATCGCTAGAGACCGGTTAGTAGGGTGCCATGCACAAGTCAGCTGGAGGTACCCCTTCGAAATTTCGCACGTGCAAGGCTCACCCTCTCGCTCGCTCCGTTAGTCGCCCCAAAAGGCGTTATACTGGTGTATTGTAGGTACACCTACCTTAGCTTACTCTAGGGTAAGGTGCCTAATTAGCGACCCCCTTAATTTGAACCGTCATTGCTCACGCTCTGTGGGTATCACTGTGTTACTGGCTTGATTTTCGGAGAAATCGTTCATTTTTCTATTAAAATATAGTCAGTTTCTGCCCCAATATTCACTAACTTATTTGTAGTAAGCATTTTGGCAAACCATTGCAAAAAAACGTTAGGTAATGGGGAACTCTTCCCGATTAGCGACCGGGAAGGGTCGCTAATAAGTCTATGGATTTCCCCATATTAAAAATGGCAAAAAATGCGACGCCTGAAAAGATGAAATATGATCTCAAAGAGGTAACCTTTACGTAAAGCACTCAATAACTCGAACAGGAACATTTATCCAACACATTTACGTAAGTAAAAACTGATCACGTGATCCACCGAAGGCGAAAAGAAGGCGGAAACCCAAATTTTGCAGGCTATCTTGCATGATATTCGAGGTCCGCGCTGAATTCGGCACCCCTGCAGTCGGTGACGACATTTGGCATCCCCTGCCACACATTGCAAGCTTCAGCAACACCTCATTTTCATTTCTCTCTTTTCCCCTTTCTTTCCCTTCTTGAGCTATTTGCGACCATGCCAGGCGCAAATAGGAAATATGAGTTGCGACACATTTTTAACCGCCATGCTGTGCACAGTTGAGCGATTCACTATGGAAAAACGGCAATCAGTTAAAAAAGGAATGTCGATTCAGAATAAAAAGGGTGCATCATCCTAATGTGCATCGCTTTTCATCAGAGAGGGCCCAAACACATGCACGTTTTGGATAAAAACTCGTCATTTTTATTTAAACTCACCTGAAACGTCCCACCAGCCACCACTCACCAGAAACATCGACGACTGTCACCGTGCGTATCAGTAAGTCGAAAGCATAGGATTCCTTGCAAGTGTTGCATGGGTTAATTAGAACTATGTTTTGTGAAGGCTCATCGTTTCAGTTCCATCTGTTCTCTCGCAGCCCTGAGCCAGGTGCGGGATATGAAGGTCCGCTTGTTGTCATCTGTTTTTGGCAGTGTTTTAGTGTTGTAGATGGTATGCTCAAGTAAACAAGCATCCTTGAAGAAAGGTTGCGTCATTATTGTGCATTATATTTTCTCGGCAATCGACCACACCGACCACACGCCGAGGGCAAGAAGCAAGCAAGAAGTTGAAGTGGCCCAAGAAGTGAACCAAGGCTGCTTATAAAACCCAATAAATATAACCACAAGATAAAACCGATAGAGCTTGGCAAGCAAGAACCACGCTTATTAGAGGAGATTTGTGTGGAAAGGCGAGCACGTTGATTATTGGGTTTCTTTGTGATAAGCTTATATGGAGACAGGACTTCATTAACTGGGTTAGGAGTTAGGAAATGACCAGAATCGACGTCTGTATACTTAGCGAATTATTGACATTGACGTTCAGCGACAGATTCGCGGACCCCTAGGATTCCGCTGAAAATCACTTCATTGACAGGGGTAACTTGGGGCGTAGAGTTGCGTGGTGTCGCGTGGTCTGGTTTGACTAGAAAGCATCCTCTGGGTATAGTGGCTCTCCTTGGGGCTTGGTTGCAAAGAAAAAAAACAAAAAAAAAACAAGTGTGATGCCTGCTTTAGACTAAACTCACCTGTTAACTCACCTGTTGGGTTTCCTCAGCCTTGCTCTTAGGAGAGGAGTGAGAAGGAGGGAAACCCAAGTCGTTCAGAGACGCGCCAATTCCAAAGAATATAGTTGGACACAAGCTGGGGCCAGTGGGTGGGCCTTGAGTCAGGGAACTGGTGTTGTGCGTCTGCGTGTGAATTGTTGTGGAAACTCGACAAGTCGACAAACTCGACTCGTAGTTGGTGCTAATGCTTCACAAAGAAAGAAAGAAAGAGAGAGAAACGGCTGTGAAGTGTAATGCAAATGCTGTCTCACCCGCAAACCAAATGGGTGAATGACATGTGAAGGAAGGCCAGGCATGGTGGGAATGCAGAAATCAGGAGGCAAGTGGTGAATGACCGATTGGAGCTCCATGGCGCATCTGACCCTGTCCTTGCTTGTTAAGAACAGGGCGCATACCATGGAGGGGGGGGGGGGGTCCAATGGTTTGACATTATACCGATCGTAATCTGTCATATAACGTAGCAACATTAGACTGAGTAATCGTAAAGTTTCGCGCCCAACACCTCTGCGAGTCCTCCTTTGAATTTCTGCAGGGAGGTTTCTTGCACTAGCCACCCCGGGAGGCTATTCCATTCTTTGACGACTCTGTGTGTGAAGTATCTGGACCTCGCGTCAACATGCGCGCGGATGACTTTGATCTTGTGTCTGTGACCACGTGTTCTTCCATTTACTTCCAGACTCCACAAATCCTCCGGCGAGATGTGACAGTGTCCATGAAATATTTTCCAGCACTTCAAAATATCAGCACGAAGAAGGCGACCCTGCACAGAAAAAAGATCAAGTGTTTTGAGCCTGTCACCATAGCACGTATCTTTGAGGCCCAGAGTGTTACGCGTCCATAGTCTCTGGATTTTCTCTAACTTCTTGAGATCTTGAACATATCCACTGTTCCACACAGATGAAGCGTACTCAATAATGGGCCGTATGTGTGTCTTCCAAATGAACATCATGAAGTCAGGTGATCGGCAGCGAGTAGATCTAAGAAAGTTATGGACAACGCCCCCAGCCTTTCTCGCAGCAAGGGCACAGTGCTCGTGGAATTTTAAACTGTCATCCACGGCGACGCCCAGATCAGTGTAGGCCGAAACGTGCGGTATTTCGGTGCCATTCAATGTGTATGAAATGATGGACTGGGCGTGATATCGGCGCCGAAAATGAAGCACAGCGCACTTTCGTAGGTTAAGCGCCAGCCCCCACGATGTGGCTGTGTCGTACAGTAGGTCGATGTCCCTCTGGAGATCTTCCGCTGTAGTCAGAGGGGCTTCTCTGTCCATCTTCATATACACTTTCAAATCATCCGCGAATATCTTGTAGCTACTCGTCAAAGTTGAAGCGATGTTATTTATGTACAATAGGAACAAAATCGGTCCTAGAACGGAGCCCTGTGGTACACCACTCAGCACCTCTGTTGGCTTGCTTGTCGTGTCTTTAACCAGCACTTGCATTTCTCTTCCCACCAAGAAATCATACAGCCAGTCAAGAAGCCTTCCCTGCACACCGATCTGTCTTAGCTTCTCGAGGAGGATGGCATGACAAACCACGTCGAATGCTTTCGAGAAATCGAACATGATGAGGTCGACAGGATGGCCACAGTCAAGCGCGCTAGTGATTTCATCATAAGTGAGAATCAGCTGGTCCTCCGTGGAGCGACCTGGACGGAAACCAAACTGTTCCTCAGAGAGAATCGCATTTTCGCAGAAGTAATCATAAAGTCCACGGAAGATCAATCTCTCAAGACTCTTACAAGCAACTGACGTCAGTGCAACCGGCCTGTAGTTCTGAGGGTCGTGACGGGAACCTTTCTTAAAGATAGGCACAATCAGTGATGACTTCCAGGCTCGAGGAAGCTTCCCCTCTAGAAGGGACCGACGGAAGATAATATACAAGGGACTGGTGAGGGTATTGGCACAAGACCTCAACAGTCTTGGGTGCAGCCCGTCCAGTCCCATGGCTGAGTTTGGATCTAGACCGGTGAGTAGTGTGCGTACGTCAGAGGGGCCGAACTCGATCTCGCTAAGTGCGGCCTCGCAACGCTGATGAGGAGCCGGCTCCTCCGGCACCGCAGCAGTGTGAATGTCAGCAAAAGCACGAAGAAGACAGTCTGCCATTTCCCCCGGATCATCAGAAATGGTGTTTGGGTCCATGCGCAGTGGACCCACGGAGGAGCGGAATTGCTTTTTATGTCTCATGTAAGAGTGAAGAAGTTTCGGATTTGCTTTGGATCTTGCTATCAATGACCTTTCGTACTCTATCTGGGACCTATGAGCGTAGGATCGTATGTTATTGTTGGTCTCGAGAAATGTTTTCAGTGCCAAGCACGTCTCAGGCGACTTTCTGCCAAGCATGGATCTGATATCCTTGTAAGCTTGCCATGCTTCCCTACGCAGGCGCTTCAAAGACGATGGAGGGTTTGACTTCCAGGGGGGTTTCATTGGTCTAGTGTCGTGCATCCTTCTTGGAACGTGTCGGTCTATGAGTGGGTTCATGATGGACAGCAATTTTGTGAATGCTTCGTGCGAGGAAAGCTGTGAGAATTCTGTTCCCCAGTCAATGCCCTCCAGCTCCGCATTGATCACTCCATAGTGGCCACGATGCCACAGCACTCTGCAGTGGCCCTTCAAGGCTGCCTCTCTGTCTACATCAAAGACATAATCACAGTGGATGCTACAATGATCACAGCCTGGTGGAGGCGCGTGGACTTGAACCGCTCCTAACCTATCCACCTCAGAAGTTAACAACAGATCGAGTATGTTGCCTGATCTTGGAAAGGTGCTCTCAAATATCCATTGTGTGAGACCTATTGTGTTAAATGTGTCAATAAACATTCTCTCGACTGCTGAATGTGTGGTTTCAGAATGTGTTGGGGACCATGTGATGGAAGGCAGGTTGAAATCCCCAAGTATGACAACCTCCTTGTCTGCACAACTGTGGAGAATAAAGTCTGCCAGAATCTGATTCTGAGCGTGAGAGTTAGAAGGGGGCCTGTACACCACATATACATAGATATCACAATCTGCTAGTCTCAGCAAAAGACAGTTGTCTTGGGAGGAATCTACCTGGTCAACCTTGAAAGATTCTCGGACATACATGCACACTCCATGCTTAGGCGTGCTTCCTGAGTCATTACGGAAAAGCAAATAACCAGGGATAGCTATAGTGGCATCCGATACTAGTGGTGTAAGATGGGTTTCAGTTATCAGTAAAAGATCGGTCTGAAATGGATCAATAAGAAAGTCTGGCAGTAGTCCGACCTTACTGCTTAAGCCATTCACATTGCAACATGCTATTTGTACTGTATATGTCCGCGGAGCTTCACCTTTCCAAATCAGTTTCCCTCGCGTTCTGGAAGGGGGAACCTTTGCCCATCAACACGGTTCCCCGGGTCGGCGCCCGGCGCTGCACAAGCTGCATGCGAGGGGTCGGCCGTGGCTGGAACAGGTGATGTCCCCAAGCGAGACATCACCTGCTTAGGAACTGTCTCCTGGTACCGAGGAGCAATGGGCCCCGGACGTGGAGAACGAGGAGGGTATCTGGCCCTCAGCTCCTGTCTCTGGAGGAAGGTAAGATCACGCTTAATGAAAATGTGTGAGTACTGAGAGTCCTTCAGAGTTTTTGCTTTTTCCAGGATCAGCCTCCTCATGCGATTGTCGCGGACATTTCCCCTGAACAGATCTGTGTCGGTCCTGATTCGGCACACCTCAGTCCAGGTTGTGCGCTCCCCAGTGAGAGCATAGATTACCTCCCCAAACTTTGTGGCTGCCTCACCAGCCGATCCAACACGCAAACCTCGTACTACCAAAGATGATACCCTCTTTTTCCTCTCCTCCATCTCTTTGAGTTCTAACCTCATGATCTGTCTGTAGTCAGTATGAGTCTGTGGGACTGGATCTTGATCTTGACCCCCAGCCCCGCCAGAGATTTGCAGGGTCCTTCCCTCTTGTCTCTTTACGACCTCTGCAAAGGTGGCCCTCTGTTGACCCTGTTCCTGTGCCACAGTTTCAAGAGTCTTTTTGGACTCAACTAGTAACTTTGCATGATCCTCAATCATTGACTGGATTGACTGTACTGCGATGGTAAGTCGAGAGAGCATGTCATTATTGGTGTTCTGTGTCAGTGGTGTAGTTGGGAGCTGGATTGCATCTATCCTAGCTGCAACCTGCTTGACCATGTCATTGCAAGTACCTTTTACGTCCTGCGCATATGTGTTCTCTTGGAGTTCTACTGCCTGGATTGCCTGCTCGACTTGCTTTGACTGGGCACTGGCTGTTTCGGCATGCCTAACCATTGATGCATGTATCTCCTGGAGAGACTCTTTGATGACAACCTCAAGGTGTTCGACCTTTGTTTCTAGGTGTGCAATCTTACTCGCACTTGCCTGCTCCGAACCCTTCTGCACTCCTCCTTTAACGAACGATTGCTTACATGCAGCGCAGATCCAAGAAAGGATTTTGAACCTCTTCAACGCGGAATGTGCTGCCTTGGGAATCGATTGACACTCCGGATGAAACCAGCCCAAGCATACATCACATTGCACGCCCGGACCCCCATCTTTGACCTCTTCTCCACATGTCATTTTACCCGGTCCACCCTTGCATGTAGCATCTCCATCTTCCCCGTTACTGCATGTCCCGCTGTTGGATCTGGAACGTGAACCCCATGGTTTGTAGACATCACTGTCCAGGCGCTTTATGTCCCTACCTTTTTCCCCAGCACAACTCACCACTTCCTCCTGCGCCGACGAGGTTTCCTCACTCTCGGGCACACCACCACTTGCAATATCCGTGGCAATATCAACCTCACAAATCGGCTGCGTGGATTGCAAACTCGCCATACTTCCCGTGTTATCAACCGACGACAATTGCGCCGAAGCCCCAGATACCGCAGACGCCGACGACCCTAGTGGTTGAGTTAAGTGTTTCTTTTTTGGTGGTGGTGAATGTTGCAAAGTCATTGTTTTTCACGCAATGAACTATGTAAAAAAATTGTGTCCTGTTTGTGGGGGTGGCCGCTGGAAATGCTTGAGGATGGGGATGAGCAAGAGAAGAGCAATACCCAGCAACGCCGCAGGAGCTCGCGAGGCACGTCCGCACTGGTTCAGTCTTGAAAGCCAAGTCCTGAGTATTGTATCCACTACTGAAAGCCACTACTGAGTATCCTGCTGTGTTTGATTATTATTTATTACTATTGCTCAAAATAAGATATATATCTGTTATTACTGCTGTTTTTTTTCTAAACACCTTTAATCTTTGCATTTCTGGGTGGTAAAAAACATCATAAAATTATCTTATCAGATAAGTGTTTGATAAAAATATACCTGCACTGCATGCAACAATAAAGAAATATATTGCGATTATTGGCATATCATCTACAGTTCATGTTCCAATCTGATGAAGTGTTCTCATTGCCTATTTATGGTTTTGAGCACCATGTATTATGATATTGGCATTCACAGATGTGCAGGTATCAGAGTAAATAAAGCATTTGCTGGGAGTGTCTCTCTCTCCCTGTCTCTTGTTTGTCGATCAGTCTCATTCTTGTTTACATAAATTTAGCTTAATTGTAACGGTGGACAGACTGGCGGAGCCAAGGCCCACAAAAGGAGAGCTTGTTGCATGGGCCCCAACCCCTAGGTACCATGTAATTGCACCATGCCCTGTACCAACTTAGCTATGGGACAGAGCTGTCCTTCGCTGTCTTTGTCTGCCTCCTGACTTGTCTGTCTGTCTGTCTGCCTGTATGTGTGTGTGTGTGTGTTCTCTCTCTCTCTCTCTCTCTCTCTCCTTTCTGATATTTAATATAAAATGTGCTTGTCCTCTTTTCATTATTTTGCTTACTCATAAAAAGAAAATCAGTAACTTGTAATGCTTTTGGAAATATGGCTGAATAATTTAGTAGGTTAAATAAAACAGGTGTACTATTGATGAGCTGGCTATGTTCAGTTATGATGCTTTATGCAGTGGCTTTGTCTCTGTTTCAGTGTTACTGTCACTGAGCTGCTGAGCTGTGGTCGGACTGGCCCGAGTCTCGGCACCCAGCGGCTGCTGGCCGGAGGAGCTGCGATGGCTGACGAGAACCAGCGTCCGGCGGCGGCGCGGCCGGCGCCCGGCTCCCAGCAGGAGCTGCCGCCGCCGCCACGGCTGGTCCGGTACGGCGTGCCGCCCGGCCGGCGACCACCCAGGTACGGCGCCGGACAGACGGCTAGGGGCGCCGGACAGACGGATAGGGGCGCCGGACAGACGGGTAGGGGCGCCGGACAGACGGGTAGGATTGCGAGGCGGATCGTCACCAGTCAGGTGGGGAAACGGGTCACTTAATGGTCAAAAGTAAAAATAAAGAGAATATCGCACCACGTGAGTCATGTTCCCAGATCTGGGATATAGCTGCTTTTCCTAAATTCGTTTTAACAGCCCTTATATACACATTCACGTTGTCTATCTCAGTACCTGAGGGATAGGCAAATCAGATTAGATTATGTCTGTTTTTGCACTGGACTTATTTTCAGTTATCTGGATGCTTTCATTGGGTGCTTGCCATTGTTCTCGCTCACCTGCCTGTGGAAATCGCTGAGACATGGACGGCTGCCAGCGGGATGAACACACTACCGGCAGATCGCCGGGCCGGGGTGGGGCCTCCGTCCCGTCACTGGCCACCGGCCGGGGTGGGGCCTCCGTCCCGTCACTGCCCACCGGGCGGGCCGGGGAGGTGTTATCGTCCCGTCAGTGACCGCCGGGCCGGGGGGGGGGGGGGGGGTCTCCGTCCCGTCACTTCCCACTGAGCCGAGACGCTGACCTGTGCTGTGGTTGACCTGTGCTGTGCTCATTAACGCTGACCGGCGCCGTGCCCAGTGCTCACTGGCGCTGACCGGTGCCGCGCCCCGTCGCCACTGGCGCTGACCTGTGCACTGCCCAGTCGCCGCTGACGCGCCCGCCTCCCTCCTCAGCCGGGAGTCGGCCGGCCGCGGCGGTGTGTCTGCGCTGCTGGCAGTCTCCAGTCGGATGCCCCGCGAGGACATCCGACTGGAGACGGAGCGGCGGCAGCAGCTGGCGCACTCCATCCAGCTGCTGCAGCAGAAGGCGGCCCGCCAGCAGCGCGAGGTGGGTGCCGGAGGGGAGCGAGCGGTGGCGCGGCTCAGGGCCTCGTGTTCTCTGCGTCACCCATTGTGTCATTGCCGTTTGCTGATTAGTCACATTCATTACGTCGCCGCCGGCAATAACACTGGCGGACCATGTCACCATAGGCAGTCGGTTTCCCTGAGCTTCGTGTCGCCGGTCCGGGAGAGAGAGCGCAAGGTCACCTTTCCTGAGCTCTGACCGGCGGTGGGTGTACCGCAGGCTCGGCAGGGGATGGCGCTACCGACCGGTCGGCCGCCGCCATCGGCTCGGACTCTGCCCGTCAGCCGTCAGCCGCCGGCCGCGCCAGGTACGACCACCGAGCGGAGGGGCCGATAGACCAGCAGTGGTACTGGTAGACCGGCAGTGGGGACTGGTAGTCCGGCAGTGGGACTGGTAGACCGGCAGTGGGACTGGTAGTCCGGCAGTGGGGAGTGTTAGACCGGCAGTGGGGAGTGTTAGACCGGCAGTGGGGACTGGTAGACCGGCAGTGGGGACTGGTAGTCCGGCAGTGGGGACTGGTAGTCCGGCAATGGGGACTGGTAGACCGGCAGTGGGGACTGGTAGTCCGGCAGTGGGGACTGGTAGTCCGGCAGTGGGGACTGGTAGTCCGGCAGTGGGGACTGGTAGACCGGCAATGGGGAGTGGTAGACCGGCAATGGGGACTGGTAGACCGGCAGTGGGGACTGGTAGTCCGGCAGTGGGGACTGGTAGTCCGGCAGTGGGGACTGGTAGACCGGCAATGGGGACTGGTAGACCGGCAGTGGGGACTGGTAGTCCGGCAGTGGGGACTGCATGAGGTCATTAGGGACTGATAGACAGACGGAGGGCTGTTAGTTCAGCAGATGGACTGATGGACAGCAGAGGAGGCTGTCGGGAGGGTATTGGGGACCGGTAGACCGGCTGGGTGGTTCTCTGCATGCAGCAATACTGGTGCCATGTATAATTGCATACCTTGTTTGCTGCTTGGAGAAAAGTCATGTTTTTTGTAACGCCTCTACGCTTCCTGTTCTGTCGGACGCATTTTTGCGCGTAACATCGCGTTGCCACGTTCTCTCAGTAGTATCGGCTTTATTTCTTCTGCGATGCTGACCGTGCCGTTCCACCTCCGTCAGGTTCAGTGCCGCCCGGCACGGGTCCTCCCTCGGCTGTTGGGAAGGCCCCCAGGGCGAGGCCGGGCCCTCCGAGTCTCCGCGGCCCGCCGGCGGCGGCAAACTCGGTCCGGGCGCCGGCGGCGGAGCTCGGTCCGCTGGACAGTAGCGCCGCTCCTCGCCAGAGCGGCCCTGTCGACCAGGCGGCCACTAAGCGGCCCGCCGGCCAGCCGACCGACCGACCGGCGGCCAAGCGCGCCTGTGTGCGGACCGGTCCGGGGAGCACAGTGCCGGTGAGCCCCACCGGCCCCGCGCCGGCCCCTCCAGTCTCCGGCCCCGCACTCGCCGACCCAGCCGCCGCGGGGCGCAGTGCCGCGCCCTCTGCCGTACACGTGCCGCCCGTAGCCGCCGATCCGGTGAACGGTGACAGCGCTGCCCGTTACTCTCCCGCGTCAGCCGTCAGTGGCTGCCGCACAAGTGCCCCCTCGGCCGCATTCAACCCCACCCGCTCAGCTGCGTCCACGGCTGCCACCTTCTCCACCCCCAGCCCCAGCCCCAGCCCTGCACCTGTCCCTGGCCCTACGGCATCGTCCGACGCCATCCCCACAGCTGCCGACCCCGTACCCACAGCCGCGACAGACACCGTCCCTACAGCCGCGACAGACACCGCCCCTGCAGCTGCTCCCGACGCCATCCATGCAGCTGCCGACCCCGTACCCACAGCCGCGACAGACACCGTCCCTGCAGCCCCTCCCGACGCCATCCCTGCAGCTGCCGACCCCGTCCCCACAGCCGCGACCGACCCCGTCCCTGCAGCTGCTCCCGACGCCATCCCCACAGCTGCCGACCCCGTCCCCACAGCCGCGACAGACACCGTCCCTGCAGCCCCTCCCGACGCCATCCCTGCAGCTGCCTACCCCGTCCCCACAGCCGTGACCGACCCCGTCCCTGCAGCCGCGACAGACACTATTCCTGTAACTGCTCCCAACCCCGTCCCCACAGCTGCCGACCCCATCCATACAGCTGCAGCCGACGCCATCCCTGTAGCTGCTGAACCCGTCCCAACAGCTGTAGCCGAACCTATCCCTGCAGCTGCCGACCCTATCTTTACAACTGCCCTCGATCCCGCTCCTGCAAGTGTTACTAATCCCATCCCTACAGCTGTCTCCCAGTCCATCCCTATAGCTGCCGACCCCATACCTACAGCCGCCAAAGACCCCATCCCTACAGCCGCCAAAGAGCCCGTCCCTACAGCTGCGGCCAACGCGATCCTTGGAGCTCCCGACCCAGTCCCCACAGGTGTGGCCGAACCCATCCCTGCGGCTGCCGACACCATCTTTACAACTGCTCCCAACCGCATCCCTGCAGCTGCCCTCGACCTTGACCGTACAGCTGTCGACCCCATCCCTACTGCTGCCGACCACATCCCTGCAGCTGCTGACCGCATCCCCACTGATGGCGCCCCCATCCCTATAGCTGCCCCCGACGCCATCCCTGCAGCTGCCGCTCTCGACGCCATCCCTACAGCTGTGGCCGACCCCATCCCTACAGGTGCCGATCCCGTCTTCGCAGCTTCTCCCGACTGTATCCCTGCAGCCGCCAAAAACACCATCTCTTTAGCTGCCCCCGACGCCATTACTACAGCTGGCGCTCCCATCCCTATAACTGCCGCTCCCGACGCTATCCCTACAGCTGTGGCTGACCCCATCCCTACGGCTGCTCCCGATGCCATCCCTGTAGCTGCCGACCCCGTCAATACAGCTGCGGCCGACCCCATCCTAACAGCTGCCGATCCCATCTTTACAACTGCTCCCGACCCCATCCCCACAGTTGCCGACCCCATCCCTGCAGCTGCCGACGCCAATCCTACAGCGGCCTATGAAGCCATCCCTGCAGCTGTTACCGATCCCATATCCGCAGCTGTGCCCGACCCAATCCCTGCAGCTGTCCGCGACCCCGTCCGTGTGGCTGCCGACCCCGTTCCTGCAGCTGCCGACCCAATCCTTGCAGCTGCTCCCGACCCAATCCCTGCGGCTGTCCCCGACCCAATCCCTGCGGCTGTCCTCGATCCCGTCCCTGCAGCTGTTCCCGACCCCTTCCCTGCAGCTGCTGACCCCGTTCCTGCAGCTGCGGCCATTCCTTTCCCGTCCACCGCTGCCAGTCCCACTCATAAGGGCAAGAAGGCGTGGCTGAGTCGCTTGGCGAGCTGTGAGGTGGCGGACGGTCCGCGGGAGGGTGGTGTGCACGGCGCCCCCGTCCCGGCAAACACCTCTCCTCAGGGACCGGCGGACGGCACACCGGCCGAGACCGACGGAAAAACGCCGAACGGAGCGGCTGGAACGACAGAGACAGAGACGGCTGGTGCAGCATGGACCGAGCCTGTTGGTGCAGCAGAGACTGAGACGGTCGGAACGACGGCAACCGAGATGGTTGAAACGGCAGCGGAAAAGCCGGCTGGCACAGCGGGGACAGAGCCGGCTGGTACAGCGGGGACAGAGCCGGCTGGTACAGTGGGGACAGAGCCGGCTGGTACAGCGGGAACAGAGCCGGCTGGTACAGCGGGGACAGAGCCGGCTGGTACAGCGGGGACAGAGGCGGCTGGAACGGTACCGACAGAGGCGCCGGGGGCAGAAGGGACTGGATCGATCAGATCAGTACGGACGGAGGCGGCTGGTACAGCAGGAACAGAGGCGGCTGGTACAGCAGGAATGGAGGCGGCTGGTACAGCAGGAACGGAGGCGGCTGGTACAGCGGGGACAGAGGCCAGTGACGCCGCTGAGACAGCTCCGGGTGCTGCGGGAGGGCCGGAGGCGGACGGCACAGCGCCGGCTGAGCCGGCCGGGGCGGGTGGCTGGCCGGAGCAGACCGGGACGGAGACGGAGGGCTCCTCGCCGGCCGAGGTGGACGGCTCGCCGCCAACGAACGGCGACCGGACGCCGCCGGCGGCGGGAGACAGTTCCTCGGGCGACGGCGACGCGGCCGCGTCCAACGGTGTGCTGGCGCCGCGCGCCGCCGCCGCCGCCACCAAGGCGGCCGCCGCCATCAAGAAGAGCCCCGGCAAACCGAGGAAGAGGTCGGCCGCTAGCCCGGGCGGGGAGGCCGTGAAGCGGCCCTCCGTGATGGCACTGAAAAAGTCGGGCGAAAAGTTCACGCAGACCAACTTTTGCTGTCAGATCACGTACAAGCTGCCTCGGTGCCGCGAGTGCCGCGCGGTGCCCACCCAGCGACACAACAAGCCGTCGGGCATCTACTGCCGGTTCACAGCGTTCCGCAAGGTGCGTTACACGCGCACCGGTCAGCTGGCCGTTGCCGGCTTCTGCGACCCGTTCACCGACTCTGGCGGCGAGAGCGACCGGCTGTGGCGCGCCAGCGCGGCCGGCCCGCCCACCATGCAGCCTGAGATCGCCAAGTTTCTGCTGGCGCACGTCGGTAACCAGTTCTGTGACCTGGTGTCCGAGGAGGAGGCTGCGCGTCGCGCGCACATGGGCGACGACCAGACGGTCGCCTGGAAGCGGGTCGTGCAGGGCTGCCGCGAGATGTGTGACGTGTGCGAGACGACGCTGTTCAACGTGCACTGGGTGTGCTCGCGGTGCGGTTTCGCCGTCTGCGTGGACTGCTACCGGGGCCGGCGAGACGGCACGGCGCGCAGCTTCGGCGACCCGCCGCCGGAGCGCGACCAGTTCCGGTGGCTACTGTGCGGCGCGCGGCCGCACCAGCAGGAGCGGCTGATGCTGACGCAGATTGTGGCCGGTGACGCACTGCAGACACTGAACCGACAGGTGCACGAGGCGCGCCAGCTGGCCGGCCTGCCGCTCAGCTGCGACTGCGAGCTGGCCAAAAAGCTGCAGGCCGAGGCGGCCGAGACCGCCGCCAAAGCCGATGCCGTGAAGGCGGAGCCGGCGCCGGGCGGCGCGGCGCGCCCGCCGGCCGGCGGCACGCTCTCGCTGCTGGCCGACGTGGCGCTCTCCCGGCTGTCCTCGGACGACAGTGACAGCGACTCGGACGGCTCGGACGGCGGCGGCGGCTCGCTGGCGCTGCGGAGGCTGCTCGTACCGGGCGCGTCGGCAGACGCCAGGCCGCGGCCGGCGCGCAAGGAGCGGCCGCGCCGCCCCGGCTGGTCCATGGGCGACTTGCTGGACGAGCTGCTGGACAAGGTGTCGGCGCGCTGCGGGGCGGCCGCGCCGGCCAGCCACGCGGCCGCCGGCCCGGCGGCACTGCAGCACTTTGTGCGGCGCGCCACCAGCCGGCGCGGCTTCCGCGAGCGGCTTCCGATCCGGATCATGACGCTGGGTGAGTCGACCCGGCTGTACCCGAACGTGCGCCACGCGTGGCTCTGCGACGGGAAGCTGCTGCGGCTGCACGAGTCCACGGCGCCGGACAGCGAGCGCCTGTTCCGCGACCAGTGGAAGCGCGGCCAGCCGGTGCTGTGCTCCAACATCGGCGGCGGCCTGGACCGCTCGCTGTGGTCGGTGGACGCCTTCATCCGCGACTTTGGCGACGTGCGCAACGACCTCATCAACTGTCGCACGGGCAACATCGTGCCCAACCAGCCGATGCGTCGCTTCTGGGAGGGCTTCGAGAGCGTGACGCGCCGGCTGCGCGACGACAAGGGCCAGCCTATGATCCTGAAGCTGAAGGACTGGCCGCCGGGCGAGGACTTTGCTGACATGATGCCGCGCCGCTTCTCTGACCTGATGTCGGTGCTGCCGATGACCGAGTACACGCGCCGGGACGGTCGGCTCAACCTCGCCTCCTGTCTGCCGGACATCTTCGTGCGGCCCGACCTGGGGCCCAAGATGTACATCGCCTACGGGTGCGCGCTGCACCCGAGCAAGGCCTCCACCAACCTGCACCTGGACGTGTCTGACGCCGTCAACATCATGGTGTACGTGGGCATCCCGGCCGACGGCGACGCCGACAACGCCGAGGCGCTGCGGGCCATCGACGAGGCCGGCTGCGACCAGCTGACCAAGCGCCGCGTGCGCGACGAGCTGCCGGGCGCGCTGTGGCACATCTACCACGCCGCCGACGCTGACAAAATCCGAGACCTGCTCAACAAGGTGGCCATTGAGCGCGGGGACCAGCTGGAGCCGCACCACGACCCGATCCACGACCAGAGCTGGTACTTGGACGGCCCGCTGCGCCGCCGACTCTACGAGGAGTACCGCGTCGAGGGCTACCCGATCGTGCAGTGTGCCGGCGACGCCGTGTTCATCCCTGCTGGCGCGCCGCACCAGGTGCGCAACCTGCACTCGTGCATCAAGGTGGCCGAGGACTTTGTCTCGCCGGAGAACATCGGCCACTGCTTCGACCTGACGCAGGAGTTCCGCTCCCTCTCCGACACGCACACCAACCACGAGGACAAGCTGCAGATCAAGAACATCATCTACCACGCCATGAAGGACGCTGTCTCCTGCCTGCTGGGCGCCGCGCGCGCCGACAGCGCGGCGCCCACCGTGAAGGGGGAGCGCGGCGCGGACGACGCTCTCAGCTGAGCTGCCGGCTGCTGGCGGCGGTCCCGGCTCTTCTCGCCGAGCGGCGCCGCGGCAGTGAGGTGCGGGCCGCCAGCTGCCGGCGGTCAGGACGGGTTTGGGGTGTGACCCCGGCACCGGCGATTATGGTGGGTCGGAGGTGCCAGGTCCCCGACCCCGGGACCCGGCACCAGCGGTCGGACGGACGGACGGGTCGCAGGTGCCTGGTCCCGGCAGGGACGGTGTCCGTGTGTGTGCCGTGGGACGGGATGGCCGGAGTCTGTCTCGGCCGGGACGGGGCGAGTTCGGGCGATCTCTGCAGACCGTGGTGGCGCCGACAGTCGCACAGCACAGCACGCCTGGCTGTTATAGGAGCGGTGTTTTGGACGCCAGCGTCCGTCCCTGAACTTCCTTCAGCGCTCCCCTCCCTCCCTCCCTCCCTCCCTGCCTGCCTCTGGTACCAAACACTGCCAGGTCCGCTTACAAGTCAATAAGACACGCTGAATGCAAGGAAACACTTCTGCAGTCTCCCTGGGACATTGTCGACTGCCTGTTTGTGCCAGGTATCGCCGTGTCTTTGTCTCTATCTCAGACGAGTTGGAGCAATCGAAACATAGTGAAACGACTGGTGGGATGCTCCATTCAGTCCATGAGCTTGAATGTGATTGACATATTTTCGGCCAGAAAGTCGGATGCTGTGAACCTTTGAGTGCAAAAAGCATCTGCCATTTTCGTCACACCGCGTGTTAATGCACTGTCATTATCACTCTGTTGGCAGACCTGTTCTTAGCGCTGTGTACATTGTGTGTATTTGAAGTGGCGTATTGTGCGGTAGCGGGGCGCGCAGTAGCTCTGTCGGACTAGCGCCGGCTGTCTGACAGGGCCCTGGCCAGGCCTTGTCCGTTTTATGCGACTGAAGGGGCGCCGGGTGCTCCGCCGCCTTTCGGTACGCAATATAAAATCGTTCTTATTATGTGGGTCTGCGATGACCAGTGTGGAGGCGTTGCTGCCATTTAAATGCGCGTGGTCGCTGGTCGCTGGCTCGTGCGCGGTAAAGTCAGCCAGCTTCGGAAACGTCGGGTTAAAGCATCGCTCCTTGTCGCTCCCAGCGTATTACCGACCCATTGGGCCGCTGTAGAAGAGTAACTGGGATGACTTGTACGTGAATCTGCCCAGTCGTCGGCCATATCACACCACAGTCAATACTGGAACGTAGTGCCGCTTTGTTTATTTGATTTCACCACGCACACATGTTGACAACTTGATAGCATATTGGCGAACAAAATATAGATATTGCAGGGCTGCACTACCCAGCTGCGCAACAATAACTGCATAGTTATCTATCTGTATCTGCATGCACAGCCTTCGATCCCGGGCCTCCCTGCGGCGGGGGCTCGCTGTCCCGGGCCTCCCTCTGGTCTGAGCTCGCTGTCCCCGGGCCTCCCTGCGGCGGGGGCTCGCTGTCCCGGGCCTCCCTCTGGTCTGAGCTCGCTGTCCCCGGGCCTCCCTGCGGCGGGGGCTCGCTGTCCCGGGCCTCCCTCTGGTCTGAGCTCGCTGTCCCCGGGCCTCCCTGCGGCGGGGGCTCGCTGTCCCGGATCGGTGGGGCTCCTCCAGTCCCCCCCCCCCCCGCAGCGGATCCACAGCCACCCAACAGGCACGCCAAGGCTAGACCACAGAAAGCAGGACAAGCACTGACTACATACACACGGGGTACACCGAGCGATCGGCGGCGCGCGGCGGCGTCACATGGGTCACAGGTGCGCCATGCTCGCGACGCTGACCTACAGTCGGCCATTCAGAGAGCGTCGCGACCAGCGCGGGCGGCGATATGCGACAGCGGCACAGCACGGTACGGGGACAGGGCGGCGGCCAGCCGCACACTACGCCGACAACGCCGGCTTTGGCACGGGCTTGGCACGCCGGACAGGGCACACGGGGCCTCTGAGAGCCGGGGGAGGGCGGACAGCTACCTCGCAGAGCGGCCGAGGGCGCGGCGCCGCGGGTGTCCTGCTGTTACGGGACGGGCTCTGCGAAGGTCGGGATCTGTCATCTCTGATTCTTCACAGGATCGCACAACTAGGGAGGGAAGGGAACATGGCACTCGGCGACTCCGAGCGGACAGTTTCTTTGCGGACCCGCTAAAGGACAATCGGATAAGTAGCGTGGGACGCGGGCACGTTTTACTGACTGCAGGCTTTTGACTGCTTATTTGGGATGAGACAATAGCTAGGAATTTGCCACCACTATGATGCCTGACGGTGGTCTCAAATGGGACTCTAGATATAGCTTGATCCACCCCGTTTCGTCCGTTTCGGTCTCCCTTCGCCTACCAGTTACCACACAAGAGTCCCTTCAGTATCGGCGCTTGTTCGGTCCGCCAACATATCGGCATTGCCTTTTTGCCACCGTATACAATCTATGACACCCCTTACGGCCTGAAGCCCCACCTATTCACTGGTAAGCCCAATAATTCGGTCCAACCTATGCTCAACAGCCAAGTCACATCCCACAGCCCGTATTGGTATAGTCTCGGACTCCGCTCAGCGGCGGTCGTCACAAACAGCGAACGGCGCTGAGGAACGCTTTACCATAGGCAACTATCCAAACGTATCACATTATTAGCACCGGGCAACGCTCGTAGGTGCTCAAAGTGAGTGGATCATCCAGGTAAAAGCAAACCTTAGCCCATCAAACCCGCAAAACTGACCCTCAGTCCCGTAGAACAACTACAGCTATGGGTGCTAACCAGTAACTACTTCACCTACAGAGACGTTATAGGGGGTATGGTCGACATCGCCTGCCGTTCGGTAGGTTACAGAATATAGCCAGAGCAGCCGTCTGCCAGCTGTTTGACCACATCGACCGGTGGGACAGAGACGTAAGCGAAAGGCTGGCTCCGGTGCCTACACGAGATAACTCTTCGCATATGGAAATGTTTTCAGTCGGTGAAAAACCGCGGTGCCGCCAGCTGCCCAGGTGCTGACTAGCCGACTCTGGGTGGACTTGGCCTCCCTCCGCCGGGCTTCACGTTTACGAGATTTACGGAGGTTGCATTAAATTAAAATGACATTATTACACAAATGAAGCCTGAAGTACGGCAAAGTATACATGATTGATCCTGCATGGCGAAACCTAGCGTAGGCGCTGGACTGCCGCACAAAGCGTAATCGGCGAGGCCAAGGTGTCTGGCCGCTCGCAGCAGTTTGGCCGCTGGGGCGCCTCGTGCGCCGGTGTCGGCGTTCACCTCACCCGCGGACGGTCGGGGTCAGCTGACATGGCGCCGCCGCGTCAGCTGACGTTGGTGACGTGGTGGCGCGTCACCAGGCCGACGCGCTGGTGGCGCGCGCAGAGCAGCCAGTGACTGTCCGTGGTGCCCACCACGGTCAGCGTGTCGTCGCGGTCGTACGAGAGGAACTGGCGGTTCGGCGTGTGGTACGGGACCAGCGAGCGAACCCTGCGCGACACACAGCGGCGCGTCACGGGCCGGCGCACTGGCGGCGAGCGGACAGCACAGCAGACAGCACAGCGAACAGCACAGCGGACCGGGCAGCGAACAGCACAGCGGACCGAGCAGCGGACAGCACAGCGGACCGAGCAGCCAGCTGCCCATGCACGCACAGACAGCGCTGAGGCAACATGTGGGCGGCGTCTAAGTCTATACCAAAGTTAGGCGTGGCATCCCTCTGCAAAAGAAAAAATCACAGACGAAATGTTTAACGTGCAAACTGCGTTACTTTGTGGTCAAGCGGTCCGATGAGTATTGATGCCCCTTTGAATAAGTATCGGAACTTCCGGAACCCAGGTTTTCAGGTGAAGCTAATTGCAAACAAAGTTAAAGGCAAGTCATTACCCAGACCAGTTTCTTGTTGGGACACAGTTTGACCGAGACGCACCTTTTTCCCTGCCTGCTCTCGGCGGTGGCGGCTCCGGTGTGGCGGGCCGCTGCGGTCCCGGTGCCGGTGCCGGCGGCCGGCCGCAGCGGCCCGCTCCGCGCCGCCTCCCGGCTCTGGTTCGCCTGCTCCTGGTCCCGCTTCAGCACGCGCTGCCGCAGACTGGCCTCCGAGGCTGTCCGGAGGCGTCTGGAGCCGCCAGTGGCCGCCAGCGCCGGCTGGCGGCCGCCGTCCGTGTCCGGGCTCTGCGGGCCCCCGCCGGGGACGGCGCGGCGCCCGGCCGCCGGCTGGGGGTAGCCGCTGTCCGAACTGGGGCGGCGCCCGGCCGGCGCCCCGGACACTCTGCGCGGGATGCGCGACTCGGCCGGCGGGGAGGCGCGGCCGGCCGGCGGCTGCTGCGGCTGGCGCTCCCACCAGGGCTGGCTCGAGCTCTGGTCCCTGGTCACCCGCTGCCACCACTCGTCCAGCTGCCGGGCCCGGGCCCTGCTCACCGGCGGCTCCGGCTCCGGCTGCCGCTCCGGATCATAGTCGGGTCCATTCTGCCGGTCTGGGACGTTCTCCCGGCTCTGTTTCGTCGGCTGTGGCTTCTTTTTAGTATCGTTCTCCACTTTCGTGTCCTGTTTCGGTTCCGGCCTCAGTTGGGTGTTGAATTTTGGCCCCGGTTGGCTCGGGTTCGGCTGCACGGCCGTCCGCGCTGGGTCGCGTCCTCTGCCTCTGGGCTTAGTCTTTGGCTCGGTGGCGGTCTGCCTCTGGCCGGCCGGTGCCAGTGCCGGCTCTGCGCGCGGCGCGGCTCCGCGCCCGGACGCCGCGGCGCTGTTGTCATTCTCGTCTGTGTCGAGCGGCACACACCCGGCCAGGGTCTCGGTGAGCGCGGCCAGCAGCCGCCGGTCCAGGTCGCGTCCCGTCCAGCGCCGCTCCAGCTTGCCGCGGATGGCGGCGGCGGTGACGCGCGCCTGCCGGGCCGGGGGGCCGGCGCCGGCGGTCCGGCCGCCGGCCGGGTCGGCGCCCAGCTCCATCAGCCGCCGGCCGAGCCGCCACAGGCTCTGGCGCAGCAGCTGGCTCTCGAAGGTAAGTTCGATGGCGAATCCGGGCCGCGCCAGCCGGCGGAGTTGCAGCAGCAGCCGGTCGGTGTCGGCGGCGCCGAGCTGCCGGACCAGCGCCTCGGCAGAGTAGTGCTTCAGCAGCGCCGGCGGCCGGCCGAGCAGCCAGCCGAACCACCGGTCCAGCGACTGTGTGCTGCCGGCAGCGGACGGGAGTCAGTGGGCAGCCAGCCGAACCACCCGTCCACCAATAGATGCTTGGCGTGATATAGGTACAGAAGAAACTTTTGAGGTAGGGCCAGGGGTAAGGCAATGTGCCGCCGACTGGACCAGCAGTTTAACCGTGGGTAGGTAGAATATGGCGGCATCCGCATGAATAACGTGTGCTTTTTTTTAACTTAAGTTGAAATAAATCGCATAAAAGTGAGCCACTTTCTTACTTTAGTAGTCCGAACACGAATGCGTTGAACTTGAGGACGCTTTCGGAGAGCTCCTCTTCATTGTTCACCTTCAGCACGAGATCACTGAGCGGCTGAGGACATATGCCTGGAATGCGAGGCGCGGTTTCAGAATCAGCTGCTGCATACCTACCGCTCATCATATGTTCATAAATTGTTGGTACATACAATCAAGGTACAATCTTCCACAATGAGCAATATAGCAAACTACCTACCTACCCAGTAGGTACCCGCTGGTCAGCTGCCGCCTGATGAGCCTTTTATGGCGATTATAGATTGCTCTATGCCAGGGTACATCGAGCTGTCTGCTCTGTAAGCCCAGCAGAGACGTATTTGCACCGAGGCCGTCTATTACGCTCCCTCCATGCTCCGATTTGAGAGCCGCATATCGTAGATTAGTTTATTCTGTAGCCGCTAGATGTCGCTAGTAGTCTGCGCCTGAGGTGGTATACTGTTCCGCCTGACATGGAACCGCAACGGCTATCGACATATAACCCTGGGATAGAGTCCGAGGGACAAGCTCCCACAGTTCATGTAAAATAGCAGCTGAATATTCACGATTTGATTTATGTAGCTATTATATTTCTCATGGAAGACAATTTATTCTCTGTGAGCCGGAGGTGGGAGCCCCAGATAGCCCATTTATCCTGGACGCCATTGTAACACAGGAAGTCGTATTTCAGGAAATCGTAAATGAGAAGGCCGCCGTAGGTATTAATAAGAAGGGGATTGTCAGCGAGATTAGCCCCTTCTCTGCGTATTCCTAACGCATGCAATATCAGAGCAGTGTAATGTGACAGTTTATTTTTGAAAGACTTTTAGTCGTTCTTCTATAGGAACTTTCCCACCTACAGGCGCGCACACAGGATTTTTTAATGGAGGGGGCGCGACCTGCAAACTGGGTCCCCATGCCAAAAGGCCCCAGGTCCCAGCCGAAAAAGTTGCCCTACATGGACTCGTATGGGCCTGCTGGGGCCCGAGACGGGCCCTCCTGGTCTTTTCAATCATCATTTCAGCTCATTTTTAGACGGTCTTCGGCGGTCTAAAGATTAGGGGCCCATTTCAGGAGCATTTGAGGCTGCCTTCGGCCGCCTCAAATGGGCCCCTCAATTTGAATGGGGAGGGCGCGGGCCCGTGTGCCTCTCCACCCCTTATGTGCGCCCTTGCCTACCTATTGATATTTGCTATGGCTCTGGTCACAGACTGACTTGGACATACGAGGGGGTATCGAAAAGTTCTGATCATCACCATGAATTAGATGTGATAGAAATTTGATTTTTTTACATGATGTTCATTACTCCTTCAAAAGTCACCACACATGACCGCTAACTTATTGCATCGTTTCTTGAGCTGCCTCAGGCGATCATTGTAGGACCTTCGCACTCTCCCGGAAATCACTGCTCCACCTCATCAATGACGTCATTTCTGTACTTAAATCACCGGTCATACTGTGGATTCTTCATCTCTCGTAACAATCAAGAGTCAGTTAATACCCGGTCAGGTGAATTTCTTAGATGTGGTAGGATTTAATATCCACATCATGTTGTTTCTTCAATCGCAGCTCAGGCCGAATGGGCGGGGGTGCTGTCGGTGAGGATAAAACATCTTTCTTGAGCTTTTTTGCGGCGGATTCTGCTCGAGGCCATCTCGCAACTTCTTCAAAAGTGTGCAGTAGTGCTTGCTTATCATTATCCGACCATCATCAAGACAGTTGGTAATGACTAACCCACGCCAGATCTAAAACACTGATAGCATTGACCTTCCATATCGGCTTCTGCATCTTCGCCTTTTAAGAAGGACAGATGTGCCGTGCCTCAACTTCTTGATCATCTTTTGTCTCTGGATCATACGCATAGACCCAGCATTCGTCACAAGTCATCAAATGATCGAAGATGTCTTCCATTCCCTAAAAAATGCCTTGTTTTCGTTTCCAAAGGCCAAGACGCATTTTTCTCTTGAACAAAGTAGACACACGAGCTTCTAAGCGGGCTGACTCCTTTATCGTCTGTAGTTCTTCGCTGATAATATTTTCAGGCACTGCCAGCATGGAGACTTTTCTGTTGCACAATCATCTGAAAGGTCACACGACGATCCATGTAAGGATGAGGTCCTCCACTTCCTTCACAGTCACCACCTTATCAATCACTGGTAGTCACTCACTTCTTGACTTCCTTGCAAGGACCATGCAACCGAGTTGAAAATTATTTCCTCATTTTCGGTAAGTGCATGAGATGGGCTTTCCTCGCCATAAACTAATTTCACGTTCTTGATGTATTTTCTCAGTGTGATACCGTTTCAAATGCATTTGTTGGATGACGGTTCGGTCCTCAATGGGCCCAATACTCATCTTTTTTACTTCTAGGTCTCTCCTACATAAGATAAAACCACTTCTCAGGATTTTCTTTGCGGGAACATTGTTCTTGAGAACCAAATATAATACCGACCAAAAATCATCAAAATCGGTCTATAACTTCTATGTGATGATCAGAACTTTTCGATACCCCCTCGTACGCATACCTATTGAGAAGGGAGGAAAACAGAAAGACTGACTTGTGGCAGGGGTGTCCGACCACGGTAAGGGTGGACCCAAAGGAATATCGACTGGCCGGGAGGACAGGCCCACTGACCGGGAGGACAGGTCCACTGACCGGGAGGACAGGCGCACTGACCGCGAGGACAGGCCCACTGACCGGGAGGACAGGTCCACTGACCGGGAGGGCAGGCCCACTGACCGGGAGGACAGGTCCGGGAGGACAGACCCACTGACCGGGAGGACAGGTCCGGGAGGACAGGCCCACTGACCGTGAGGACAGGCCCACTGACCGGGAGGACAGGCCGACTGACCGGGAGGACAGGCCCACTGACCGGGAGGACAGACCGACTGACCGTGAGGACAGGCCCACTGACCGTGAGGACAGGCCCACTGACCGTGAGGACAGGCCCACTGACCGGTAGGACAGGCCCACTGACCGGGAGGACAGGTCCGGGAGGACAGGCCCACTGACCGGGAGGACAGGCCCACTGACCGGGAGGACAGGCCCACTGACCGGGAGGACAGGCCGACTGACCGGGAGGACAGGCCCACTGACCGGGAGGACAGGTCCACTGACCGGGAGGACAGGTCCGGGAGGACAGGCCCACTGACCGGGAGGACAGGCCCACTGACCGGGAGGACAGGCCCACTGACCGTGAGGACAGGTCCACTGACCGGGAGGACAGGCCGACTGACCGCGAGGACAGGCCCACTGACCGGGAGGACAGGCCCACTGACCGGGAGGACAGGCCCACTGACCGGGAGGACAGGCGCACTGACCGGGAGGACAGGCCCACTGACCAGGAGGACAGGCCCACTGACCGGGAGGACAGGCCCACTGACCGGGAGGACAGGTCCGGGAGGACAGGCCCACTGACCGGGAGGACAGGCCCACTGACCGGGAGGACAGGCGCACTGACCGGGAGGACAGGCCGACTGACCGGGTGGACAGGCCCACTGACCGGGAGGACAGGCCCACTGACCGGGAGGACAGGCCCACTGACCGGGAGGACAGGCCCACTGACCGGGAGGACAGGCCCACTGACCGGGAGGACAGGCCCACTGACCGGGAGGACAGGCCCACTGACCGGGAGGACAGGCCCACTGACCGGGAGGACAGGCCCACTGGCCGGGAGGACAGGCCCACTGACCGGGAGGGCAGGCCCACTGACCGTGAGGACAGGCCCACTGACCAGGAGGACAGGCCCACTGACCGGGAGGACAGGCCCACTGACCGGGAGGACAGGTCCGGGAGGACAGGCCCACTGACCGGGAGGACAGGCCCACTGACCGGGAGGACAGGCGCACTGACCGGGAGGACAGGCCGACTGACCGGGAGGACAGGCCCACTGACCGGGAGGACAGGCCCACTGACCGGGAGGACAGGCCCACTGACCGGGAGGACAGGCCCACTGACCGGGAGGACAGGCCCACTGACCGGGAGGACAGGCCCACTGACCGGGAGGACAGGCCCACTGGCCGGGAGGACAGGCCCACTGACCGGGAGGACAGGCCCACTGGCCGGGAGGACAGGCCCACTGACCGGGAGGGCAGGCCCACTGACCGGGAGGACAGGTCCGGGAGGACAGGCCCACTGACCGGGAGGACAGGCCCACTGACCGGGAGGACAGGCCGACTCCACCAGGCGCCAGACGCTGTTGTGCACCGGCCCGAAGGCGGTGTCGAGCCGCGTGAGGAGGCCGTCACCGAGCAGCGCGTACAGAGCTGGACAGAGCCGGTCCAGCACCAGGTAGCCGATGGCCGGGCTGCGCCGACTGTCCCCGAGCAGTTGGCCGCCGACTGTGGCACACAACACACGGCCAGTGAACCAACTCGGCACCTGTGTACCTACCTAACACAATGGCACCGATCTGAAATATCCAGAACTGCAGGACGTGGTGTTTTACCAGTCTAAGAATGAAATAAAATAAGATAAGCGCCTAACGTGGAAATATTACTTTCAGTAGGTGTAACTCTTAATCGTAAAAGAATGTCTTATCTTATTGGTATGGAAGGTGTGAACAGCGCAATGTATGTGAGTGTGTAAGCAGGTATGTCTTACCTGGATCATTTGATGACAGGGATATTGCACTTGATTGGAAGTAGGCCACGATCGACGCCACACTTTCAGTGATAAGACTCAGGGCCTCTGTAAGGTGACATTTATCGGTTAGTGTACGATATGCGTAGATACCTCTACAAACGAATAAGGAAAGAGTAACTAATCGTATGCTTGCACACTCTAGACATGTATTTCATCACATTGGGATATAACTTAGCCGTAGTAACTTATATTTGGTGAATTAAGCTGGATAGGCGCTAAAGCTTAGGTAAATATTTCTTACGAGCATAATCTAGCAAAAATGCAAGACGAGTGATCGGCTGCAAAAGCTGGGTCAGTAGCACACAGTGACCGTCTGGGCAGCCTACCTTCGAAGCCGTCCCGGTGGAGCACGATGACGCGCCTGGCGTGCGAGTCGGACTCGGAGCGCGAACTGTCGCTGCCGGCCGACTGGGCGCCGAACGAGCCCGGCATCCGCAGCTCGATGCCCGAGTCCACGGACGGGTGCTGGCGCCGGCGCTCCGGGCCCGCCTTCCCGGCGCCGCCCGGCGCAGACGGCGGGTGGGAGACGGTGTCGGCGGCGTCCTCGGGGCCCGTGAACGGCCGCAGCTCCCGCTCACTGACCGCTGCGAACTGGGCGGCGTCCGTGAACCAGTGGCTCAGCGAGCGGCCCGAGCTGGTCGACGAGCCGCTGGCGGCCGCCAGTCGCGCCGAGCGCGGCGTGCACCGACCGTCGCGCTCGTCGTCGGTGGCGGCGTCAGAGTCGCGCCGGCCGCTGCCCGCCGAGCTCTGCCGACTGGCCGACCGGCACTGGCCCACGTGCAGGCCGCCAGAGGGGCCGTCCGGCGATCGGGGGTCGCGCGAGGGGCCGTCCGGCGACAGGGCGTCACCGGCCAGCCGGTCCATCTCGCGGCGGAACTCCTGCGGCAGCAGCATGCGCAGCGAGCGCCAGTCCTGGATGGCGGACATGTTGCCGCGGATCGCCGTCCGGATGTCGTTACAGGAGTAGGGCCGGCGCTGCGGCGAGCCCGTCGCCGTCGGCGTCAGACGGCCCGGCGGCACCGGCGAGCCGACCCGGCACCCGGCCAGAGCCGGTGAGCCGACCCGCGGCCGGACGAGCGGCGCCCGTGAGCCCGCGCCCCGGCCGCTCAGGACCGGCGACGCCGGACCACGGGAGCCAGTAGGAACCGGTGAGGCCGGACCACGGGAGCCAGTAGGAACCGGTGAGGCCGGACCACGGGAGCCAGTAGGGACCGGTGAGGCCGGACCACGGGAGCCAGTAGGGACCGGTGAGGCCGGACCACGGGAGTCAGTCAGAGAGGGTGGCCCCGGAGCGCGGCGGGTGGGCGGTGCCGGCGACTCCGGCAGCGGGGCGCGGTGAGCGCCGGCGGCGGCCTCCCCCGGCCCGTGTCGGCACGGCGCGCTGATAGGACTCTGCTCCAGGAAGGGCAGGCAGGGCAGAGTGTAGTGCGGAAACACGCACAGACCGCCGCCGGCCGGCGCTGTCTGGCTGCTGCGCTCGGCCACAGCGGCGGTGGCGGCGACGGAGCGCGGCTCGGAGCCGGTCACCGGCCGCACGGCGCGGTCAGGGGCCCGCTCTCCCCCGCGGCGGTCACCGGCCAGGTCAGGCCGGGGGCGCCGGCCGCCGCACCGACACTCGGCAGGCGCCGGCCTCTCCGGGAGGGCCAGCTCGCCGCGCCTGTCCAGCAGACGCTGCCGCGGGTCGGCGCTGAGCAGGTACCGCCGGAGGTCGTTGCGGCGCGGCTGAGCCTTGTCTCTCATCCGGACTGGCGTCGTCTCTTCGTCCGACCTCGGCTCGTCCTCGCGCGGTTCCACCTGGCAGGTCCCGGCTCGGTCCGCCGCGGCGCGGTGCTGGTCCGGCCGCGGCTGCGGACTCTGCGGCGCCGACGGCGGCAGACACTGCTCCCGCCAGGTGGTGGTCTCGGTCCGCGGCGCCGGTGGGACCGGCGGCGACTGGCGCTGCCCCACCCAGGTGGTGTGCTGGTGCGGGGACGGCGTGCGGCGCCGCTCCGACCAGCAGGTGAGGCCCGGCCGGGACCGGCCGGCCGCCGGCCACTGACGAAACTCTGCCCGAGAGCGGACACTGCGTCACAGCCGACCAGACGCTGATGGGCGCAGAGTCAGCAGCTGAGCGAACACACATAAATCGTAACAGGTGCCTAAGCTCTCAGCCGAACGATCGTGGACGATCGAGTAGGGGTATCAATCGCTTCGTATATTGATGCGGGACCTACATTATTATTTTGCAGTATAATATGACGTGATGTGTTACGTTCAACGCTTTAGGTACTCACATTTGCGAGTTTGTCACGCCATAGGAAGGTTACAAGCTAAATCGACTGGGCAGCTTTCATTTCAAAGTCCATAACGGTTTCTCCAGCGACCGGCTCGACCGTTCTAGCAAATAGCGATGCCGAACGTCGGCCAGGCCGAATAATAAGAGGCAGAACGCCAGTCAAGAAATTGGCGCCGGCTCACGGTGACACGGCCTGATGTTTTACACTTACCGCCAAACGATCGGCCTGGAAATGCGGCTATGCAAATGGAGGTCGTTTCTGCCGCTGCATCGATGTTATAACAGCCGCTGATATCGTCAGCCCTGATTTACCCGGCCTTAGCCCAGCTTTGGGACACATAAGACAACGAACTCTCGCTGCACAAAGGCCAATATGGATAGCAGTCTCCGGCTGAATCCGTTTGGCGTTATCCATGGGCCATTTGGCCGACACTCTCTGTGTGTTGCTGACGCCGGCTCAGGCTGGGGAACAAACACCCACCGTGGGGCGCTGATGACGGGTCTGTGGCGTCATCGCTGGTGACGAGAGCAGCCTCGCCGCTGGTGGTCACGGCTGCGGCGTCGCTGCTCATCTGGTCGACGGCCCGGTCGCTGCCGGTCGTGCCGCCGTCCTCGGTGGTCGCCAGCGCTCCGCTGCTGCTGTCGTCGGCCTCCAGACTCAGAGACGGCAGCATCTCGTCCGCCTCGAACGACGAGCAGTCCAGCGAGTCCATCGAGATGTTACTGAACAGGCCCTGCTCCTGTGGAGAGCGGCAGACCCAAACTCTGAGCGCACTGAACTCTGAAAACGCCCTGCTCCTGTGGAGAGCGGCAGACCCAAACTCTGAGCGCACTGAACTCTGAAAACGCCCTGCTCCTGTGGAGAGCGGCAGACCCAAACTCTGAGCGCACTGAACTCTGAAAACGCCCTGCTCCTGTGGAGAGCGGCAGACCTAAACTCTAAGCACACTGCTACTGTGGGCTGTAGTGTACTGCAGTTAAAACAAGCCAAAGCTTTAGGCGAGCCCTGTTCCCGTTGAGCGCAACGTGAGCCATGGCGCGGGTGTGACCTGCACTCTTCTAAATGAAGATGAACGTTTCGGGGGTACCACTTCGGACTCACTCGATGCAAGTAGCAGACCCCGAGCTGCTGCCTGCCCTTTGCACCGCTCTCACCCCATACAGGTCGTTGCTGTAGGCCGATATCTCCAGGATTTTGTCGATGTCGGCCCGGCAGAACTGGTCCATGTCGATCTCTGCCAGTGTGGCGTCCACGTGGCACGAGAGCTGGTTGTAGCTGTGCGAGCCCATCAGCTCTGGACAGCGCTGCTGACCGGGGGTGGTCGTACCGCCGCCCTCACCTCCCTCGTACCTGCAGTGGCACCAGAACACGCCGCATCACGGGCAGTCAGAGTCCGAGGGTCAGAGATCAGAGGCCACAGTTCATAGGTCATAGTTTTTGTGCCGCGCTCAAGATATTTTGATTCAGAGTCCGGAGGAGTAAAAGTCCCCAGTGACAACTCAGACGGTCAGTGTCCCGATGCTAGGTACGATCGACAGTTTCTTAAAGAGAGCGACCACGCAACCTCACCTCGAGAAACATGCTGCTCACCCTGGATATCTACACCTACACCGTCTGAGTGATTGTAGGCATTGAAACTCTCAGCGATTGAAATGAGTGTTGGAATGAAATCACATTTTGGCTTTTTGTGATTGCTATCAGTACTTAACCTAGGGATATGTGATCTCTTTATTACACGAACCAATGCTAAACGGAATAACAACGGCGTCTTCTAGGGATGAAGGTCATTCTATGTAAACACTGGGTTTGGCTTTTCGACCCTGTGATCTAGGGGTCTGTGGTGTCACAGTGCAGCTACCGTCTGGTCAATGATAGGATGAGGCGCCGCGCCGTCTTGTGAGGTGAGCTGAGCCGCCGTCTGTGTGAGGTGTGAACATATGAGCCGCCGTCTGTGTGAGATCGAGATGTGAACATATGAGCCGCCGTCTGTGTGAGATGTGAACATATGACTTGAGCCCCCGTCTGTGTGAGTTGAACCGCCGCGCCGTTTGTGTGAGCTTAGAGATAATCCGCCACCTGTGAGAGATGAGCCGCCGCTGTGTGAGATGTGATGCAGCTGAGCCGCCGCTGTGTGAGATGTGACGCAGCTGAACCGCTCTCCGAGGTCGGTCGATACCCGTCCGCGGCAGAGTAGAGGAGGCAGCCTCCGACCTCCGCCGACTCTACCCCGGCAGAATTGGGCGCTCAGCCTCGCATGAGCACGGCTCATTTGTAACCGTTCCCTTTTACATCTGCGCCTCGGTTCGCCGGCTGCCGCAGTAAGTTAGCACAGTAGTCGGCCAGCTTCCAAATTACTTTTGACCGCAGCGAGAAACGAGACTTCCTACAATTCTCACCCTCTATGTTCGTGTACCTACATTTTTCAAGTCAACTTTTAATTTTAGTCAACTAATGAATTTATTAACTACTACGCTAGCCTTGCGCAATTACCTACCTGTGAAGACGCTCGATCACTTTTGTTCCATAAGATGTTGTCCACGAAACATTCGATGCATTCATTACTGGCATTCTATTCCGTTACATCATTTCGCTGCAACAGTGGCTTCGTATGAATTATGCTAATTGTATGTTTTGGCAGACATCTTTCGAATGCTAAAGGCGAGGTATTTCAAACAGTTACTTCACATAACTACAATACCTACCAGACTTGTAAACGACTCAAATTTTTTTTGAGTCGATTCTTTGTTTGAGTCTGGAAATTTGAATCGATTCATCAAACGACTCATGATGTTAAATTTAATTGATTCGAATCAACTCATGACTCATCAAGTTCCTCGATAAAATGATTCGAATCAACTCATGACTCGAGCAACTAGCCAACGGAATGATTCGAATCAACTCATGACTCACATTTTGATGAATCGATTCAAATCAACTCATGACTCACACGACCTTTTTATTGAACTTATTTCATTCAACCCATGACTCACTATAGGCATTTGTTGATTATTTGACTCAAAGCTATGACAAAATGAATATGCCGCATACCACAATTGTATTAAGCAGCATAGTAGCCTTGACCAAAGATTCAAGCAGCTACCTAGTAGGACTAGGTAGTAGGTACATAGGTACCTACCTTACACCTACCTATCTTCAACACTCAACAGTCAACAGTGCAATATCAGATAAATTTGTAAGTAACTCTGAGAGACAATTATAATATAAGTGAGGACTAAGGAGTAGCATAGTAACCTATCTCTTATTATTACCTAGAAAGTCTTTTTGAAAATTCAAAAGCACAAGTTCCGAGAGGCATTCATGTTTTTTTTTAATCAAACTTTTTCTACATGATAATGAAACAAATGTTACTACTTCTTACTTATCACATAAAATTATTCAAACAGTACAACCTCAAAAATAGGATTAATCCCACCTGTGACACATTCAGCATCAGCAGGGACTCCATGGGCCACGAGGAGCAAACGAGGAGGCCATGACCTTGCATGGGTGGCTCAGGCCTCAGAATCAGATATGATCTTGAGTTGAGACTCGAAAGTGGCGTCACCTTGGGCGTCACCGTCGCCTTCCCGCCAAGGTAGGCCATAATGACCAAGGTCACGTATGTCAAACTAGTGGCAGCTTCAGATCGCAGTTACCGTGCGATCGTACTAACTTACTGCAAATTTGTGCTAACCTGCTGCAGTGGAAAACAAGTAAGTATTATGTCCGTGAAGTTAGCGTCAGCAACAACAACGAATACAGCGTCGGATTCAGAATCACTCAAAAAACTCATATTCGGTCAATTGGGGGACGGGGAGCAAGAATATGACCTTTATTTGGCCCTAGCTTTTACCCCTTACCCCTTAATCGGCCCTTAAGGGAAGGGGCGCGTCAAAAGTGCCTCAAGGGTTCGTCTGATCGCCAAAATAAGGGTCGCAATCGATTCCCCGGGTTAATATCTAGCCGCAGTCTTGGGTTCCAGATGTGTGCAACTTACCCCTTACCCCTTAATCGGCCCTTAAAGGAAGGGGCGCGTCAAAAGTGCCTCAAGGGTTCGTCTGATCGCCAAAATAAGGGTCGCAATCGATTCTTTGGGTCAATATCTAGCCGCAGCCTCGGGTTCCAGATGTGTGCAACTTACCCCTTACCCCTTAATCGGCCATTAAAGGAAGGGGCGCGTCAAAAGTGCCTCAAGGGTTCGTCTGATCGCAAAAATAAGGGTCGCAATCGATTCCTCGGGTCAATATCTAGCCGCCGCCTCGGGTTCCAGATGTGTGCAACTTACCCCTTACCCCTTAATCGGCCCTTAAAGGAAGGGGCGCGTCAAAAGGGCCTCAAGGGTTCGTCTGATAGCATAAATAAGGGTCGCAATCGATTCCTCGGGTTAATATCTAGCCGCAGCCTCGGGTTCCAGATGTGAGCAACTTACCCCTTATCCCTTAATGGGCCCTTAAAGGAAGGGGCGCATCAAAAGTGCCTCAAGGGTTCGTCTGATCGCCAAAATATGGGTCGTAATCGATTCTTCGGGTCAATACCTAGCCGCAGCCTCGGGTTCCAGATGTGTGCAACTTACCCCTTACCCCTTAATCGGCCCTTAAAGGAAGGGGCGCGTCAAAAGTGCCTCAAGGGTTCCTCTGATCGCAAAAATAAGGGTCGCAATCGATTCCTCGGGTCAATATCTAGCCGCAGCCACGGGTTCCAGATGTGTGCAACTTACCCCTAACCCCTTGAGGCACTTTTGACGCGCCCCTTCCTTTAAGGGCCGATTAAGGGGTAAGGGGTAAGTTGCACACATCTGGAACCCGAGGCTGCGGCTAGATATTGACCCGAGGAATCGATTGCGACCCTGGATCAGACGAACCCTTGAGGCACTTTTGACGCGCCCCTTCCTTTAAGGGCCGATTAAGGGGTAAGGGGTAAGTTGCACACATCTGGAACCCGAGGCTGCGGCTAGATATTGACCCGAAGAATCGATTGCGACCCTTATTTTGGCGATCAGACGAACCCTTGAGGCACTTTTGACGCGCCCCTTCCTTTAAGGGCCGATTAAGGGGTAAGGGGTAAGTTGCACACATCTGGAACCCAAGGCTGCGGCTAGATATTAACCCGGGGAATCGATTGCGACCCTTATTTTGGCGATCAGACGAACCCTTGAGGCACTTTTGACGCGCCCCTTCCTTTAAGGGCCGATTCAGGGGTAAGGGGTAAAAGCTAGGGCCAAATAAAGGTCATATTCTTGCTCCCCGTCCCCCAATTGACCGAATAAGAGTTTTTTGAGCGATTCTGAATCCGACGCTGTATTCGTTGTTGTTGCTGACGCTAACTTCACGGACATAATACTTACTTGTTTTCCACTGCAGCAGGTTAGCACAAATTTGCAGTAAGTTAGTACGATCGCACGGTAACTGCGATCTGAAGCTGTCACTAGTTTGACATACGTGACCTTGGTCATTACGGCCTACCTTGGCGGGAAGGCGACGGTGACGCAAGCTTTACCGACCTAGGTGAGTTTATTTATATTATAGCATAGCCTATAGGTAGTTTATAGGCTATAGGTAGTTTGGACGTATTTGACTCTATAGACACCCGGCTAACTCTTATGCTGTTGATTGATTATTGGGACCAAATTGGGACTGGGAGAAGGGGAGGCAGCCGCAGGTGTCAATTCTGACTTCTGACATGTAAAATGTAGGTACCTAGGTAGTGTAGCAGGCACTTGGCTTGGTAAGACTAAGTACCTACCAACTGCCAAATGCTTTTGGCTCATTAGGCGCCTGTGCCTGAGCCTCTGAGGCTCTTGTAAGTCTGAAATATGGAGTTAAGTGATGGCTAAAGCTGAGAGATTGATCTAGCATTGATTATTAGGGTGTTGATGGTGACTTGTAAACGACTCAAATTTTTTTTGAGTCGATTCTTTGTTTGAGTCGGAAATTTTGAATCGATTCATCAAATGACTCATGATGCTAAATTTAATCGATTCGAATCAACTCATGACTCATCAAGTTCCTCAATGAAGTGATTCGAATCAACTCACGACTCATCGAAAAACGGTTTGATTCTGAGTCGATTCACGAATCAACTCAGAGTCGTTTACAAGTCTGATACCTACAGTCTAAAAAGTACCTAAACCACCTGAAACTTTTCTTGGAAGCCTCAGTCGCTCGATGCTAAACGGAGCTGGCCAGAGACACTGAGTTCTCCGGTAGTCCAGTTTAGGGTTCTCAGAGCTCAGACATAGACGGGTTTATGTGGCGGGCTCGAAGCAATCACGAAAGTAGCTATGTGATATTGTTGGTCCAGTAATCTCTCATTAGATTTTTAACAACATTCTAGAAAAAAAGCTTAGTGATGATGTGACTGTAGTCGTCTTGTCCACATCAGTTGGGAATTTAAAAGTTACCTTCTTCCTACCGGCATATGTCGCTGCATCGACACCTTTTGAAGCGACACATACCTATAGATATGCGAGTAGGTGTTTAATATTATTTGAGGTCGGGACCTGATCACAGACCCAGCTGAGGTCGCGGTCGGTGACCTACCCGCAGAGCCAGTTGAGGTGGCGGTCGGTGACCTACCCGCAGAGCCAGTTGAGGTCGCGGTCGGTGATGAAGTCGGCCTCGTCCAGCGACTGTTGGCTGCCGACCAGGCCGGCCAGACCGGCCGGCCTGTCGCCGTTGGCGTTAGCGTCCGGCAGCGTCTCCATCATGCCGCTCCGGCTGCTGGGACCTCCTCGATGTGAATTATGGCTGTGTCCTATGCCCGCACTCGGATCATCGGTAGCACAAAGTGTCGGGCTCACATGGCTGAAAATTAGAAAGGGTGGTCAACGCGCTACCAGATATCTATGCCAACGGATATTTCCAACGCATATTGCATAACGTTATGATTAAACAAAGGACGTTTCGGTTGCGAGATTAGTCGAGTGGTTATTCTCACCGCTATTGCTCCCCTCCTCCACCCGCACCAGGTCACCCAACGTCATTTTACATCCCAGGTCATCTGCTCACGTTGAACCAGGCTATCTTAGTTTTCACTTTCTCCTGTTTCATTTAACTCATAAATAATTGCTCGTTTATTATTCAGTAATAGTCAAAGGCACGGAGACGGACCCATGGATAAAAACATTGTAATTCTTATGACAAGTGCCGACTCAAAAGTCGACATTTTCCAGCAATATCAGGTGCAGCATATTAGAAAGGGTGGCTGAAAATTAGCAAATACCTATATAGGCGTTCTTTGGCTTGGGTAGGTACATGTTATTTCTTTTGATGAAAATGAGCAAAAAATGCAAATCGCATTTTGCTCGAACTATATGATAAAAAGCGCTTTGGGTGCGTCAGAGCCCGCCCATAAACACGCCGTGTTGCGCAGGCCACGATATCCGCCATTTATCTATGCCACCATCTTATGGATCAATTCCTGTTTGTCAGGCTAAACGTCAACGTGCCAACAAACCGATACAGTCCACCCTGCGGGCCTTAACTTTCCGCGACTGTTTCCATAAACCCAATATAAACTGCAGGTCATCCTTCATAGTATAGTTGCGCATAACTGTAGCACAGCAGTCTATTGCAATACAGTACGTACCTATGTACATATTGCACATCCCAGTGTGCATCAAAATCCGTTTTCTTGTACGGAACAATAGAGAAAATAAGACTGTTTTGTCACTCACCTGTTGTGTTTCGAGTAACCGCTGTGCCGGACGACTGCGGCCAGGGTCTGGGCGCTGCCGGCGCGCCGGTGTCGGGCAGCGGGCGCGGCGCCTGGTCACTGGCGGAGGTGCGGCTGGCAGGGCCGTGTGGGCCGCGGAGGCAGGGCGCCGCCGCCGTCCAGCATTGATCGCTGGTCGAGGCCCGCCGGCGCGGCGCCGCAGAACCCCCATCCCCCCCCCCCCCGACCGGCCGGCAAGACCCCTCCCCGACCCCTTCACCGCCCTCCGACCGACCGTCCATGTCGACCCCGCGCCTGAGACCCTCGTAGCCGTCCCGGTACAGTTATTGCAGTCCACCGCCCCAGTCCTACCAAGTCCCATTGCCCTTACCTAATCCCTCCACCATCCGGCCCTCTCGTGTGTCTCATCTCCACTCTCTAGTCTTGAGTCTTCTCAACTCCCCTTCCTTACTCTCGAGTCCGTCACCATCCATTCTTCTCCAATCCTTCCTCTTCTCCAGACCGTCCCCAGCCTTTTTCCCTCCTCTTGGGTGGTCCTCCCAGCTGTCCCGCGGCGCTCTCCGGACGGGCCCCAGCCGTCTGGTCCGCCGCGTCCCCGCCCTTGACCGCCGATTCCCTCCCTCCCTGCCTCTCCCCGCCCGTTCAGCCATCCCGGGGAGCGGCGCCAACGGGCGATTTTCCGTCCGAGCCGGTCCATAGAGGCTGTTGCCGTGATTGGGCGCAGGCCGAGACGGCGCCGGAAGGCAGTCGCGCGGCCGACAGAGCCGCGCAGAGACAGCTCCCAGTCGAGGGAGGAGGGAATCCAAGGGAAATGGGCGGTGATGGCCGGGAGGAACTCGGACGGCCGAGTATAGCGGCCCTCTTGTATTGTGTATACCTACAGGATGTATATCGGCATTCGGCACAACGGCCGTATTGCAACCGCATTTACTAAAGAACCTCACAGCAGCTTACAAAAAGACCTCGCTCCGACTTCGCAGCTTCTTCATTTTCTTTTTTGTTTTAACACGGGCGGTAAAAATGTTACCCAAATACAATGTAACTCGCAAGACAAGCTCGATTTGATTCGATTGTTTAAACCTGGACGATAATGAGCATTAAAACATGGAACGTCTTAGCCAACCACACCGTCGAAAGTTATAACGGCCCATTTCGACGGTCCACTGTAGGCCGGCAGCCCGAAAAAGCGCTAGAAATTCCCCCAAACTGACTGTCCGCAATATGAACAAAATAGGTATCATTTAATCCCAAATTGATCGAAGAATACGATTCCGATGCCATTTTTGCCCTAAGGTCGAAATTGAGGTGGTCAGTTGTCACCAAACACAAGACTATTTAGACTCGCTAGTGGCCACCACATTTGCCGATTTTAATGCTAATCTTTAGTTGATATTTATTAGTTGACCAGTTGTCATTTTGAACGCAATTTTCTGTCAGACTAGTTCAGGGCACTGTTGTTCACTGTACCAACAACATTCTTACATATTGCATCGCTTTTCTGCAACATAAGCTAGTTTTTTTGCAAGCAGCTGCAAGACCTAAATAAAAATCATATCTAAATTTTTAAATAGACTTTTAAAAAAACGTTATTTCGAGCAGCTAAAAATAAACATATTATACTAGCCGCTGATTACTCATCTTTCGTTCCATATAGGTACTTTGCTGCTTTTCCCTGCTACTTTTCGAGATATGCGCCAGTAAACCACATGATGTAGGGGCAATTGTCACCTCGCCGCTCTACTGAATGCCCGGCGCTTTTTATAGCGCTGGAAGTTGTGAAAAACTAAGGCTTATAATCTGAATAAAATATATGTCCCTGAGCTCAGAATTGATTAACGCACACAATGCTGTCAAAATTTTTGGGCCAAACTAAAAAATTCAGTCATTATTAACCCCCAAACACAAGTAAGTGATAATCAACAACAACTTGCTCTTAAGTTAGACTTTTTGAGAAATGTTATTTCGAGCCGCTAAAAATGACCGTGCCATACAAACCACTAATCATCTTTCTGTCATGCCCTACTCGCAATTTTTGCTAATGCCTGCTACTCTTCGAGGTCACGTGACATCACCATTAAAAGTAAATGGGGAGATAAGGAAACTGTTGTTTTTGCGCATGGAATGATCTCAAACTATCTCAAGCACACGGAATCGTGATTTCATGCACTCCTTGCAAGATCCGATGCTTTACTTTTGCATTTTTGACCTTCCGTGACGTCATTTATGACGTCACTACGGTCATAGGAGTTTCTTGTCAATAACTCATGATCAAATTGAGCCAGCGACTCGGGAAAGCCACCAATGGACTCGGGAAGACCTCCCGAATCGAATGATATGCGACATGACCTCTTTCGACCAACTTCGTGACCTGGGGATGCTGACCTGACCTTGACCTGAGGTCAACACCTTAAGTTGACCTCACCCGAACAAAAAGTATACCATTCGACGCGCCTGAGCCAGGCAAACACGATGGTGCCAAAATCGCTGCTCTGCGACCATTTTATGCGAAATTATTTACCAAAAACCAAACCCTACCTTGGGCTTTTTGACCTCACCTCAGAGGTTACCGGTTGACATGGGACCTTGAAATCGGGTATCAATCGTTCCGTCTTGAAACGGCGCACACGCTTGTTTTTTCCGCGAGGCTCTAGCTCCATTAGGGGCGAAACGGCGAAAAGGGGTCGTACCAACCCTCCCCCCTCGGCCGGCCGAGGGGGTGGGGGGTCCGACAACAGGTCCGGCGAGGGTTAAGCAGCCCCACTTCGTTTTTAGCATGTTTGCTTGTCGCTGAGATCAACAACTCAATCACAAATAATTTCTAGCACTTTTCCGGGCCCCCGGCCCAGTGTGCGGTCCCGCCGCTGTCCGTATCACAGCTCGGAGGGCCAATTGTCCAGAAAAGGGCCCTTGGTGTGGCACTTGACGTCTGTGTCGGCACCCCCGGCCTCTCTCGGAGCTCGGCGTTAGGAAGCAAGGTGATTGGTTCTCCGCCTCCCCCTCCCGACCGGCTGGACCGGGCTGCGTCCACTGACCAAGCTGGTCCTTTCCACAGCCGCGCCGGGCAGCAACTGGCTCGTCGGCACTTCTGCAGAGCTCGGTTATACCATCCGCTGCTGCGTGAGACCCATCAGAGACGTGGCAGCAGCAAGCGCAGCTGTTGATCCACCTTCGGCCGGTTATTGACCGCTGCTCGACGGGTTTATATGCATTTACATAGCTACACGGATTTATACGGGATCGTCGGGATGCATGCATACCTAACGACCCCTCCAATGGCAGTTTGTGATCCCAAACCAACGAACACATTGAACACATTATGCTTTATGGTGTTACGGTGTTAGTAATCCCGGGCATAAGCCTCGTCAGTCGCCACAAAAAAATCTTACTCGAATATAGCGTCAGGTCAGGTCAGGTCACATCAGGTCAAGTCTGTTCAATGTTAGTCCGTGAATGGGGTCAAGCTGAGTCCTTAGGTCGTATCAGTTTGGTAAATTATGTTCTGTCTGGTCGTGTTGGGTCCGGACGAATCAGGTCTGTCTCTGGTCTGGTTGAGTCGGGCCGGGTCAGGTCGGGTCTGATCGTGTTCGGACAGGTCGAATTTGCTCGGATCGGGTCCGCTGGTAAGGTCGGCCTAAGATCGGCCCAGATTTAGTTAAGTCGGATCGGGTCAGGTCTGGTCAGCTGAGGTCAAGTGAGGTCTGTTCAAGGGTTAATCTGTTCAATCGGGTCAGGTTGAGTCCTTCGGCCAGAGCATTGTGTTGAGTTATGTTCTGTCAGATCGGGTCGGATGCTGAAGAGTCAGGTCGGTTTAGGTCTGGTCGAGTCAGGTCGGGTCCGGACCAGTCGGGTTAGGCTGGGCCCAGGTCGGGTCGGGTCAGGATCAGTCGGGTCAGGCTGGGCCCAGGTCGGGTCGGGTCAGGACCAGTCGGGTCAGGCTGGGCCCAGGTCGGGTCAGGTCGGGTCCAGACCAGTCGGGTCAGGATGGGCCCAGGTCGGGTCAGGACCAGTCGGGTCAGGCTGGGCCCAGGTCGGGTCAGGTCGGGTCAGGACTAGTCGGGTCAGGCTGGGCCCAGGTCGGGTCGGGTCAGGACCAGTGGGGTCAGGCTGGGCCCAGGTCGGGTCGGGTCCGGACCAGTCGGGTCAGGCTGGGCCCAGGTCGGGTCGGGTCGGGTCCGGACGGTCAGCGGTTCTCGGCCCAGTCGGTCGGACTGGTCTGGGGCGGTCACGTGCGCCGCCGACGGTCCAGTCTGCGCTATCGACCGCCGCCAGCCGGCTCCACAGCCCTCTGACAGACAGCCCCGGCGCGGCCGCGCGGCCCGCTGCCCGTCCGCCACCCAGCGTCCTCCGTCCGCCGCCGCCGGCGCCGCGACTGCAGCCTCCAGGTGGGTGTCCGCCGCCGCGCTGTCCTCCCCCCCAGACCCCTCCCTCCCGCCTCCCGTCCTGCCGCAGGACGCCGCTGGGCGTCGCATCGACGGCTTCGACCCCGTCATCGTCGGCGGCGGCGCGGCGCTCCCCAGTCGAGCGGGCACCGGCGGCAGTGGGCGCGCCCCGGGCGGCGGAGCGGCGCTCTCGGCGGCGGGGTGCTCTGTGACCGGGTGCTCCCAGCGGCGGGAGTGCTCCCAGTGGCCGTCAGTGACCAGGGTGCTCTCAGTGACAGAGCACGGTGCTCTCAATAGCCATGTTGCGCTGTTTTGACTGTAACACAGCGGCGGAAGACGCTCGAACGCTGGTGGAAAATGGTCAGTAGGTACCTGTCGGCTAGGGAGTACTTTTCTCGTTCTTGGTGTGACAGTGTACCTAGTACGCACTAGCAGGTAAAGTGCTCAACAGGAGTGACGTAGAACCTTGTGTATGGTCATAAGACATTTATCCTCGTTCCCAAACAACAATAGCAGTGTGTGGCACACAAATCTGCCTGTACGTTACGTTCATCGGCAGCATGACAATAACATACATTTTTATCCTAGTAACATATAGGCCCTACTAATCAGTATCAGCTTTTAGAGCTCATTCAAGCAACCAAATAGGTATACGTCCTAGATTTAAGTCGTAGCTCTCGGGGGATTTGTATTTACATTTTACAGCGTAAAGACCCCAACTAAATGAAGGCGTCTTATTTTTTATTTGAAACTAGCGTTCATATAGGTACTCAATTACAGTAGCGGCGGAACACCTTCAACTAAGGGGGGGGGGGGGGCACTGCCGACTTTTGGCCCCATTCTTTCCATGTAACGCCCATAGGGCTAATGTTAAAATGCCAAAATCAAAGGGGGGCACGGTGCCCCGGTGCCCTCTCCGTTCCGCCGCCTATGCTCAATTACATGTTATTCATGCACTCAAGTATTCAAGTCCATACCTATACCGTTATGGTAAATCTACCTGCATTGATCTTCCATATCCCACGAACACGGAAAAGGTATGTCATTCTCACAGGCCAGTCGTCCACTAATTGCCCTTGACCTTTCCAAAGGTGTGAGCATTTCGTTACAAATGCATGAACATACCGCGCGCGAGCACAGCTTGCAATGAGTCGTTAGCGCCTCCTGGATGCGAGATTCTCATGTGTACCTGCCCAAATAATATCGTTGAAGTGTAGCACGAAAGAAACTGTGAACATGGAGAACATGAGGCGAGCTGTACAAGTTGTGAACCTGAGAACAGTGGTCAGTGAACATCGTGTGGCGCGCGACAAACGGTTCAACTCAAATCGTTTACCTACGTGGAGTGGATCTTTCGAACCTTATCGTTAGCGTGAATAGCTCGGGACAAATTGGCTCGGGACAGACGGTAGGGTGTGGATAGCCCGATACGTACGGTGGACTCTTTCTACATATTGCCTTGTGATTGTCACACACCAAAGGCGAATATTGTTATGGTATCTTATTGTTTGCTACAGGAAAGAAATGATGGATCGGATCGGACTGATTTAAGTAATTCACCTTATATGTTTCAGGAACCTGGACGAGCAGCTCGGGCCCTGCATCTTTGCAGCAAACCGTCGTCACTGAAGAAAGGTATGTGCCCCTTGCCGTTTGGCCCCTGATCGAGCTAGGGCTTCGTAGAAGGAACGAGCGCTTTGCCCGTGACGAGAGGAAGCCGATAATACCCAATTTTAAGGGCTATGTGATTGGTCAACCTTCCATGTCAGGTCAATGACACAATAGTCGAGAAAGTTGGGACCTATTAGAACTTTATAAAGTGAGATTCAAGATTGTTATGGGGTGTAATGAGGTGCTGGGTCAGACTCAGGTCAGGTCAGGTCAACTAGTAGGCGTCCTGCCGGCTATCCATAGTAGGTGTCAACCACCACTGACAGCCTCGTTACATGTTACGAAGCCCGAAGGCACCAAAATACTTCGTAAATGCTCAAATGAGCGCCAAATTCGAAATCAGCAGCTAAAAACTGCCCTAGAAACATGTACCTTAAGTTCTCAAAAGTGAGCCGATGACATCAAAGGTCAATGAATTTGAACTGTTACGGGGTTTTGCGGGGTGCTGATCACGAAATTCATGTTGGTGTTGATCACAGATGATGTATTCATGCATTTAAGCCAGGTTAGGTCAGGTCAGGCCAGGTCAAGCCAGGTCAGGTCAGGTCAGGTCAGGTCAGGTCAGGAATGTCAGCCACCACTGACAGCTTCGTTATTCGTAATATGTTATGAAGGCACCAAAACCAATCCGTAAATGTTCAGATGGGTGCAAATTCTAAATCAGCTAAAAAATTACCCTGGAAACGTAAAACTCGCAAAAGTGAACAGCGAACCGAGGTCATCCAAGGTCAATGACCTTGACCTGACCTTTGCATGAGCTTGACACCACCATAATGTATGGGGCCAACAGCATGTCACATGTTTGAACGTTTAAAACCACAAACATACCGGAAACAAGCGGACAATGTAAGCCGACATACGCTAAATCGCGATTCCGGCCAAACTTGGTCTCGAGAAACATATCACAGGTCAAAGGTGAAAGTTTCTTGTTGTAGCACGTGCTGTAGGTAAGACATAGGAAGGTACTAGGGTTACCCGCGTGCTCCGCAACGCGAGGGGGGATTTTTTGACCCGTGGGTATTGGGTTGGTCTGTGTCGATTTGGTTGGTAGATATCCATTTCGTTCGATTGCTTTTTGACGGCCAAGCATTTTGTAAGAAAACAAAAAGATACATCGCATCGAGGTGCCCGTGTCGTATTATCATGCGTTCTACTTTAGAATGATTCGAAAACTGGCGTGAAGTCTTTTGAGGGCCATCGATGAATTTCGCTAAAAATGACAATGTAAGGGTTTGGAACATTTACATTTTTAAGGATACTGTTGCTAATCATGCAAAAATGAAGAGTGAATATTGGACAGAATTGAATGCTCTTTCCAACGGTGCCATTTTTAATTGCCAGATATATCAGGTCAAGGAGCAAAACCCGTGTGATTAATAAAGTGGCACAAAATTGACAAACACCATTTTCTCCTGTGATTTGCACCACCTTGATTTGGATCAATCAGCTTTTCATAATTTTTATATGAGAGGCGGTACCTTTCTCTTGCAAATAGGCGTTGATTCAACTCGCTCCATTTAACGGTCACCTAAAAATAAAATTAATTCCAAAATCCCTCAAAAACCGCAATTTTTCAAATAAAAGTGCCCTCTCCGGTGCACGTGGCGCGTGCTATCCTCTGCATTGCACACCATTCAATAGCCCGTTCAATTCTGTACACGATGCTGTTTTCCCCGTGCCGGTCGGATCCCTGGTCACCAAGATATTGCACGGGAACTGGACCCGTGTCGGCCAAAATTAGCCATTTTCGCCCGATTTCGCACGCCGATTTATACATGTAAAGTCTATGACGCGAATTTGCACTTTTTGAGCACGCACCACGCGCTCCCTATCGACCCGATCGAGCTGAGACCCCTCAAAGGCACGTCGCGCATCCTTGATCTATGAGTTGTGCAAATTTCACCGGGCTAGGTGCAACGGTCTGGCCTGCAGTCCACGCAAAGCACCACCAAGTCGGGACCTCGGTAACGGACAGACGCACCCTCCTCAAATAGTAATATAGACTAGGGGATCCTGGCTTGCTTCGCGGCGCAAAAGGTTATAAAATGATGGGGCATAAAATTTGGGATCGAATGGTGTTTGTCCCGTGTCGATCGGCTTTCTAGAAGCTAAGATAATCGCAAAAAAACCTGTTCGACTTGCAAAAGTACTTGGTACTTGCTTGGTACTTGCAAAAGTACTTGGTACTTGCTTGGTATTGGCAAAAGTACTTGGTACTTGCTTGGTATCTGGAACATGCAAAAAGTACTTGGTACTGGCTTGGTACTTGCAAAGGTACTTGGTACTTGCTTGGTACCGGGTTCGCCGGGTAGGAAAACTTGCCACTCTTCTCCCGCCCCCCCCCCCCCAGTTCCCCCCAGATTTTGTATCGATCGGTGTTTGTCCGGTGTGAATCGGTCGTGAATAAGTCGAGATACGCACGGTGAATTATTACCATCGGCGCTGATCAGAATCTTCAAAACGGAGGACCCCACGCTCATTAACTGCACGTCAATCGGCCGTGTTTCACTTTTCCCAGATCTACGTCAAACTATACGTATTTAAAACTACATATTCTACAGCCGAATCTTCAAACTGGGGGTACCCTCGCTCATTACTGCGCGAGAATTCAGCCGCATTCCTGTGTCTTTCTGCTTATGTTAAGTGAATGCGTTTGTCCGAGCCTATCTCGCAAGCCCCAACAGAAAAACCTCGCTGCAAAAACTGACCACTTCAAAAAACCCGCAATCCTACTCAAATAGTATATTAACAAGCGGCTGCGCCACTTGCTTTGCTGCGTGGTCATAAAATGCGGCACCAGCCAATTTGCTTTCGAATGGTGTTCGATTCAAATCGATGCGTCGTCTAGAAGCATAAATATGGACAGAAATGTGAAGAGAATTTAAAAAAGAACTGTTCTGAGGACTTCGTTGGATGAAATTTGGGTGATGCGGGGTCAAGACGGGTCGAGGGGGTCACCCCCGGTCACTTTGGGTCAGGCCAGGTCACATAGGTCACCTCCCGTCCCATGGGATCAGCCCGGGCCACACTTCTATTTTTGCCTCCACCACTACCCCTACCCCTACCACTGCCCCTACCCCTACCCCTACCACTACCCCTACCACTAACCCTACCCCTACCCCTACCACTACCCCTACCCCTACATCTACCACTACCACTACCCCTACCACTACTACTACCCATACTCCTACCCCTACCACTACCCCTACCACTACCACTACCCCTACTACTACCCCTACTACTACCCCTACTACTACCCCTACTACTACCCCTACCACTACCACTACACCTACCCCTACCACTACTCCTACCACTACCACTACCACTACCCCTACCCCTACTACTACTCCTACCACTACCCCTGCCCTACCCCTACCACTACCACTACCCCTACCACTACCCCTACCCCTACCCCTACCAACACCGCCGGGTCATGTCAGGTCACAGAATAATTGGATCCAATCAGTACTAAAATATCAGACTTAAAGTGTCCCCAGCCCTGCCCCTATTCGTGCCAACCCATTACGCTTAATCGTATTTGTCGGAAATGGCGCTTTGTTACAACTGTGGCGCATTGCGACAAACGCGGCGCATTTCCATCCGGCGATTTACCATGCATCTTGGCACCAAATTGCACCCATATCGGACCATATTTGACAAAACTGTGCGATTTGCGGCAAAAATGACGCCCTGTGACCAATGTGACGCATTGCGGCAAACGCGGTGCATTTGTAAACTCGTATCACAAACTGTTTCCATCGAACGAAAATTAACACATTTTTTCGCCACTTTTCATTCAAATTAATAACTTGCCGATCCGCCAATGCGAGGCACTCGCCACCGATCGGCATGCATTTAGCTCACAAAGTTTGTCGACCCCGGCTCTCAATGAAGATCTACGAACCGATCAAAATTTCAGTGGCGTTCTTCCGGCGCGCCCCACGCGCGAACCGTGCACCCCAGCGAGCCGAAACCTAGAAAAGGCGCTGACCCACTCTGTCACCTAGAAGGTGTGCAAATTTCAACCCCTTACGATATACCGTCTGCCCTGTAGGCCGGCTAAATTGAACCCACTACACGGCGTGGCGGACAGACAAACAGACAGATGGATCCTGTTCAAATAGTAAGATAGACAAGCGGCTGCGCCACTTGCTTTGCTGCGTGGTAGGAAAAATTGCGGCACCAGCCAATTTGCTTTCGAATGGTGTTTGATTCATGTCGATGTGTCGTCTAGAAGCATAGATATGGACGGAAATGTGAAGAGAATTTAAAAAATACTGCTCTGAGGACTTCGTTGGATGAAAGTTGGGTGATACGGGGTCAAGACGGGTCATAGGGGTCAGCCCTGGTCACTCTGGGTCAGGCCAGGTCACATAGGTCACCTCTCGTCTGATGGGATCAGCCCGGACCCCTGTTCTACTTTTGCCTCCACCACTACCCCTACTCCTACCACTACCCCTACCACTACCCCTACCACTACCCTTACTACTACCCCTACCCCTACTACTACCCCTACCACTACCACTACCCCTACCATTACCCCTACCATTACCACTACCCCTACCAATACCCCTACCACTACCCCTACCACTACCCCTACCCCTACCCTACCCCTACCCCTACTACTACCCCTACCCCTACTACTACTCCTACCACTACCCCTACCCCTACCACTACCACTACCCCTACTACTACCCCTACCCCTACTACTACCCCTACTACTACCCCTACCACTACCCCTACCACTACTCCTGCCACTACCCCTACTACTACCCCTACCACTACTCCTACTACTACCCCTACCACTACCCCTACCACTACTCCTACTACTACCCCTACCACTACCCCTACCACTACCCCTACCACTACCCCTACCCCTACTACTACCCCTACCACTACCCCTACCCCTACTACTACCCCTACCACTACCACTACCCTACCCCTACCACTACCCCTACCCCTACCCCTACCAATACCGCTGGGTCATGTCAGGTCACAGACCAATTGGATCCAATAAGTATTAAAACCATACTTAAAGTGTTCCCAGCCCAGCCCCTATTCGTGCCATTCCATTACGCTTAATCGTATTTGTCGGAAATGGCTCTTTGTGGCATATGTGGCGCACTGCGACAAACGCGGCGCATCTGAACCTGTTGGCTGAGCATGTATCCTGGCAACAAATTGTACCCTTATCGGACCATATTTGACAAAACTGTGCGATTTGCGGCAAAAATGACGCCTTGTCACCAATGTGACGCATTGCGGCAAACACGGTGCATTTGTATACTCGTATCGCAAACTGTTCCCATTGAACGCAACTCAACACATTCTCTCGCCACTTTTCATTCAAATTAATAACTTCCCTATCCGCCAATGCGAGGCACCCGCCACCGATCGGCATGCATTTAGCTCACAAAGTTTGTCGACCCCGGCTCTCAATGAAGATCTACGAACCGATCAAAATTTCATTGGCGTTCTTCCGGCGCGCCCCACGCGCGAACCGTGCACCCCAGCGAGCCGAAACCTAGAAAAGGCGCTGACCCGCTCTGTCACCTAGAAGGTGTGCAAATTTCAACCCCCTACGATATACCGTCTGCCCTGTAGGCCGGCTAAATTGAACCCACTACACGGCGTGGCGGACAGACAGACAAACAGATGGATCCTGTTTAAATAGTAATATAGATAAGTTGTATGAGAAAAACGCTCTTCAAATGACCTTACAATGAAATACCAAATGATTAAAGAATGAAATAATTGTTGATGATTTAATTCTCTCATCATTTGGTGTTTCATTGTGAGGAGGCCATTTATAAAGAGTTTTTCTTTTATCATACAGTCATTGGAAGTTACCGAGTGTGTATTCTATGCATAAGCAATGGCTTCAGACCATACTTGCGATATAAATCGCATGGACTCACTCTGCGGTCTCGGGTGGCAAATATTGCTGGAACGTGGCCCGTGGTACGTCTGAGGGAGCCGGATCGCGACCAATCCGGGACTCATAACGGCCACTGACGAACTCTGAGATCGGCCCGAATTGGCCATTATCGCCCGAGTAACGGCCTCGTCAGACACGCCTAAAATACTGCGATATTGCCCGTGGCCTCGCCCTCATTGCTCGATCATCTACCCTTAACGTAACGGTCCGGCCTCAGACCGTTTGTCCCCGCCGCACACCGTCATACGAGTACAGCCTGTCCCCGCCTTACACCGTCTGTCAGTGTCCCCGCCTCACACCGTCTGTCCCCGCCTCAGACTGTCGTACAGTCTGTCCCCGCCTTACGCCGTCTATCCCCGCCTCATACCGTCCTTCCCCGCCTCACACCGTCTGTTGCCGCCTCAGACTGTCCGTCCCCGCCTCACACCGTTCCTACCGTCTCGGACCGGTCATTTACCGTCCCTCCCGTCTCAGTCCGGCGCGGCGGCGGTCCGTCCCTTCTGTCTCAGATCGGTGTGGCAGTGGTTCGGTGTCAGTAACTAGTTCGGTATGGTCCTCGGTGTTCTGTGGCAGTGGTTCGGTATGGTCCTCGGTGTTCTGTGGCAGTGGTTCGGTATGGTCCTCGGTGTTCTGTGGCAGTGGTTCGGTATGGTCCTCGGTGTTCTGTGGCAGTGGTTCGGTATGGTCCTCCGTGTTCTGTGGGTGCGTCTCTCGGTATCCGTGCTCTGAGTGTGGTCTGGCCGGCAGATCCATGCTGAGCACCGAGTACCGGCTCAAGTTTCAGGACTTCAGCGGCGGCTCTGCGCCGCCGTCCGACGCCAGCTGCCCGGATGGCGGCGTTCGCGGCCTGGGCAGGGCCAAGACCTGGTACTCGGACCTCCTCGAGTCGCGCCGCAAGGCCGTCACCTATAAGGTGGGTGTCGGAACGGCCACAGGCTGCCGCAGAGACGGGCCGGGCACGCGGAGCGCACCGCCCGGGACATTACACGCAGTCACACATAATGAGCAAACGCATCGTAAAACTGCAGTAGCTATCAGTTAATTCAACATGTGCTTTTAATGATAGCCTCTCACACACAGTCTCTACATTCCACTCACTGCTCTCGGTTGGTGCGGGCAGGTTCGAGGATGGGGTAAGGAGTCGGCGCCTTCCCACCTGGTATATCTATACGACCAGGCAGAGGACCCCAGCCGGCCGCCCGAGAAGAAAATCATCTCGGCGCTCTACCTGGAGACGCTCCAGCCAGGGTCAGTGTCTTACGAGTGGGAGGGTGTGACGGTATCGGAGAACGTTTAAATGCAGTGAGTGTCCTTGGAATGAGAGGGTGTGTAAATGTATCCGATGAACGCTTCACTTCTGGCATTTCAGCCATGGGTTTTACTTCTTTTGATGTAATTTCAAGGCTCAAGCATAACGTTTCATGTATTGTCTTACTTTTAATCTTTGTTTTACTGGAACTCATCGATTCAATCAATGTCATTTTAGCTTTTCTCATCTAAGTCGATATTGAAGGTTCATAATTAAATGTCGCTTATACCAATGTCCCAAAATTTGTATATTTGGGTGGGAAACGACATCCAAATGAAATTCATTTTCCACTCTCACCACCATTTTTAAGAACAATTTTCCACTCCCAAGTCCCAACCAAGAAAACATAGATTGTTTACCTGTAGAAAGACAGTTGTGTGGATGCCCAGTTAGCATCAAACATTCTACACCCTAGAATAAAATGCATGCTTTTTGTCATTTCTCACTCCTTTTTGATCTAATCGAATCAGCAGTTTTCCACTCTCTCTCCTCTTTTTGGTGGGTAATTTTCCCCTCTGACACCCAAGACAAAACTCAATTTTGGGACACTGGCTTATACTGTTAGTGGCCTATTCATTCTCATGGACAGTATGAATTGAATGGATGACCACAGTAGTGATGTCATTTTCCAAAAAATGTCTGACCGATACCGACCGAAACCAAAATTTGGGGAAAATTTCCGACCGAATACCGACCGATTACATCCCAAGCCAAAATTTGACCGAAATTTGACCGAACTTCTATTTGCTATTACTCTACCCCAAAATTAAAATATTTGGTAAATTCTGATGGAAAATAATGGGAAATGGCATTTCAGTCCAAGTTCAGTCAATTCTTAGCCACTGCAAAATACATATTGTGATAGAAGTTACATTGCTGAGGGTATAGCAACACATGGACCTCAGCATTTCACAGATTTAGTTGATAAGAATTGTCAAGAATCTACTGTGGTCTATGTAAGGAAGAATGTTCATTCATGTTGCAAAAGCACGATCAATTAGTATAGTCAAATGGTTGGTAATAGGTATGTTCATGACAACATTCCCTAGGAGAAAAGGCGGAATCAAAACACCACAAAACACATCAAAACTGCTTGGAAACTTGCCTTGAGTCTTGAGATGTGGTCTGAGATACTCTACAAATAATTTGACACTGAAAATCTAGCTGAAAAGGCAGCTATTAGGTAGCTCTGAGCTTGAATTTTGTCCCAAAAATGAAATGAAAATTCATTACACAGGCACTTTGTCTTATCTCTTGTTTGTCTTATCTTTACAAGAAAACAAAATATGCAGACAAAATTAATACCTACAAAGTGGCAAGGCCATATAACCAGGTATGGTCATCCGGTTTTTTTTTTACCGTCCCCCTACCGGGCCCGAATGACGTCACTGGGATGGTAACTCGCCGGCCGCCGTCCGCAGCCATTATGGAGGACGGATGTTCAAATACGTTTTTAGCGGATTTTAGTGTAGTTTCGATGTCCGATACAAGGCAGAACGGTGTCATGTTTCCTCAGTGAAGCAAATTAGGACCAGCTGTTACTCGAACTAAAAGATTTGGCGGAATTATTCGGATCGGACCGAGCCAACGTGCGCCCCGCCGGTGATCCGGCCAACACATCGGCGGCTTTCTCTTAGATGAAAATCGCCATTGTTTTACGCGGGGATTCGGAGTCAATGGACTTCTGGTGACTCTGACTCCAATCCCCACTTCCAAAAACCAACTCCGACTCCGACTCCGGGCTGAGTAATCAACTCCGACCGACTCCAACTCCGACTCCGCAGCCATGCCAGGTCTGCGACGCCGATGGATTTTCGGTGACCCCGACTCCGACTCGGTTTCCAAAATCGACTCCGAGTCTGGTCAGAACTGTCTACTCTGACTCCGACTCCGCAGCCCTGGTTTTGCGTCTATTTCGCCCCGTAATTTAGAGGTTGTGTCCAGGGCTGCGGAGTCGGAGTCGGAGTCGGTCGGAGTCGACAGTTGTGACCGGAGTCGGAGTCGGAGTCGATTTTAGAAACCCAAGCCGGAGTCGGAGTCGGAGTCACCGAAAATCTGTCGACTCCGCAGCCCTGCTAGGTCTGCGGAGTCGGAGTCGGGAGTTGGAGTCGGTCGGAGTCGACAATTCTGCCCGGAGTCGGAGTCGGAGTCGCCGAAAATCCATCGACTCCGCAGCCCTGGTTGTGTCAACTGCACAAACCGAAATTGTACCGTAATACAAGCATGCACATTGCTCATTCCAAAGTTCTGACCGGAACGGACAAAATGCGTATACCATATGCCGGCTCATGTCATACCATAATTGTAGTTATACGTTAAAAACCATATTGGACAGATTGGTAGAGGACACATAAGGCACAAGCCCGATCTATTGCGACTCAAACTGAGGTACAATAAAATGTTCCGAACTGTCGGAAAGCTGTACAAGATGTCGCCTCTTCAAACACAGTGCCGACTGACCACGCGACAGCCAGGAACTGGACAACATCACACGTGAAGCAGAGCGGTGGCACCGCAGCACAGGCTCCCCAAGCTCGTCAAGGCGGCGAGAAAGGTCCAACAGGTCGGTAGCAGGTTCACCACGGCAGCGACAGGTCAGGCAGGTCGGCAGCAGATTCACTAGGGCGGTAGCAGGTGCGACAGGTCGGCAGCAGGTTTACCAGGGCGGCGACAGGTCCGACAGGGCGACCGCAGTTTCACCAGGGCGGCAGCGTAGACGCAGCGGTAGGTCCGCCGGGGTGGCAGCAGGTCCCAGGGCGGCCGCAAGCTGACCAGGGCGGCGACGGGTCCGGCAAGGCGACGGCAATTTCACCAGGGCGGCAGCGTAGACGCGGCGGCAAGCCCGCCGGGCTGGCAGCAGGTCCCAGGGCGTCTGCACAGGGCGGCGACAGGTCGGCAGGTCCGTCGGGGCGGCGACAGGCTCGGCAGGTCGGCCTCAACAGCAGGCAGCCAGCAGATTCTCGGGGCAGCCCTGGTTGAGGTGGGATGTCATCAGAAACTGCACGTCTGGGTGCCGGTGTCGGATGTCGTACAGACCACGCAGCGATGCTTTACTGCGCAGCACGCCCTGCTGGCAGCGCAGGAGTGTCGGCAGCCCAGGGGGTGCTTTCGGGTCGCCTTCAACTTCATTTCTGAACTACTGGCGCTCGCCACTCAGGGACTCGGGTGACGTCTCCAAAGCTGGGAGACAGATGCTGAAGTCGATATCAATGTGATTTTATGCCCTCAGCTCGGTGCCAGTCATTGTGCAGTTATGTGCAGGTAGCCACTCCTCGCTCTCCTGCACGCCGTCAAGAGGACCAGCCCCGGACCTGCAAAACACATTACCAAATTTATCAACACAATGCAACATGAAAAAAAAAATTCACTAGGCGATGGGAATTGGGAAGCAAAAATAATCAATGCCCCAAAGGTGACTTTTCTTTGATTGCCTTTTCCATGTGCTGACATGAAGCCTCCTCAAAACATGTACCTATTTTATATTTATGTATTGAATGCAGGCCTGACTCAGATTTCAGAATTCAGGTGAAACAAGCAAATAACACAATTTATTTCATTAATATTTTGAATTTGAGTCTGGCATTACTGTTCCATGCACAGGTGTGGCTGTGTATAAAATCACATGAAGCAAATGCATTAGGTTAAAAGTCTCAACAAATATAAATTAGTAGTAGCACAGGTGGTATAAATAGAAACCAATATATAGAAAAGGAAAAGCTTGTTTAGTTAGCAAATGTCAATTACATAACTTTTACATAAACAAGAATGGGATTTTCAGCAAACAGCATGTCAGTAACCCTTTTAAATTCAAAATTTTCGCCCAAAATTTGAAAGTTTAGATACAGATGATAAAATCTAGCAACAACTAATATTGAAAAGAAGTAACAATAAGCGTCAACTTTGCACGCAAGATGTGCCAAAATTTTGGTGAGAAATCGATTGCGCTGAATTTTGAGAAATGAAAGCCCCTGACGCATCTAACAGTGTGTGAATTTTTTCATGTCTGGGAGGTAAGCATAGATTGAATTGTTATTTGATGCTATTTTATTTTACAAGTAAGTAGTTATTTTCACAAACTATTAATATTTACAGAAGCTAGCCACTTCCGAAACAATTTACAACTATTCCATCTCCTTCTCATTATCTTTTCAACAATGTTAAGACATTTTACAACTTAATATGAGTTTATCATGCTCCCTTTGAAAGCCAAAAATGACAAAAAATGGTTAAACCGGCTTGAAATGAAACGTGGCTGATCTGTCTATACTCTATGATACTCATGCTTTATATACCGTTGAATTGAATACCTGAGCTGAACTGCTGAAGCTGGTCATTCTTCATGATCTCTGAGACGACAAGTGTGTGAATGCCACTTATGTGTATGCTTTTCCGATCTTCAAACACATAAAAAGTGATATTATTATCAAATAAACAATATTCAAACTCTGTATAACAATACACGCAACGGCTTGAAAACACTGCGCCGGTGCGCCAGAATTGACAGCATCGCATGAATCTCAGCGACCAATCAGCTTTCGACCATCCCAGTGACGTCACATTGGCAGCATTTGGAAGCAATTTCCCTCCTGTGGCCCGGTAAAGGGACGGACCCCCCCTGCAAAGTGGCGCCAAAGTGGCGCAAAAAGTAATAGAAGAACCAAGGATTGACTTTTAAGATCCTCTCTTCTGTAACGAAAGGATGTATGTTGATGACGTAATACTTATTTATATGCCCTTTTGGTCGAATTATTGAAGGGAAATTAATTTTCTTGTAGTGAATTACACTCACAATGTTGATTTCATTAGAATTCAATATCGTGTTGGATCATTTACATCAATAAAATAATTCACGAGGCAGCATGTAACAATCCAAAACTTTTTTCAGCAACTTTATCAGCTGGTTTAAAGTCTCTGTTATGGCGCATCTGTTTCGAAATCCTTCCTTGTGTTTGGAATCTGAAAGATTCCAGAAATCGGACATGGGCCGATGTAGTTTTTGTCAAGATTCCTATGTTTTTATGTTGTGGTCATCTAGATTTCAAACATTTGGTTGGTACCTGCAATATTTAAGGAGAATGTGGGATAGTAGAACACCTGTGAAATGTAAATGTGATCACTGCTAAGTGCTAAGTGCTAACTGTCCAGTCTTCAGAAACACATTTCAGTAATTCCAATTCAATGTATTTTTGTCCTTGCATTTTTGATGACTGTATAATGATTTTTGTAGGCAATACTTCTTTGATTACAGGTGAAATTTTAACAGTTAGACTGGAATAGAGTTTCAAAATTGTGTGTACTTGTGGGGCCAACTGAGTCAAAATCAGCCTGTTTGTCGTTGTGCTTGGACAATGGGTGGCTGCTGCCTGCTGGGTGGGTTGGCTAATGAGGTTGCCAAAATGTGGCATTTGGCATTTGGGGGAAATTTTGCAACTCTATCATTAACATCCCAATAAATTTCATTTTAACTAGGCAAAAATGGAATACTTTCTCTTTTTGAAAATGGTTTCACTGGCAGGGTGACCGAAAGTGTCCGATTTTTGGGGGGCCTGACCGACCGATTACCAAATCGGTCAGCATATCTTTTCGGTAACCGAAATTTTCGGTAACCGATTGACACCACTAGACCACAGGTTCACTTCCTGCTAAGCAGAATTGTATGCTCGCTGTCAAACATAACGACAAATTCGCCCGTCCATGCTTGCGTCTAGACATACATAGTGGTGGTGTGGCCGTTTTTAACCGATTTATGTTGAGCCCAGAAGGCCCTGGTGCTGCCGACAGTCGGTGGTTCGGGTCTGCAGTCAGTGTCTCTGTGACGGCTGTATGGGTTCACTCAGTATCCCCCTGGGCTCTGACCGCGGTCTCAGCCGGGCGGGGCGGTCGCTGACGGCGGGTCCAATCCGGCTCCGGCCGCGGCGGGCCGCTCTGCCGCTCGATCCGCGGCAATCAGACCCGGCCCAATCGGGGCTCCGCTACTGGCCTGGCGGTCGCACGGCGCCGGCATGCCAAGCTCTGACGGAGCGGCTTCCCACCCGGGCCGACTGCCGAGCGGGCCGCCAAAGTTGCCTGGTTAATGCTAACACATGGCTGTCAGAAACGAGATGGCTGTCCGCGAGAGACATCGAGCCTTTATTACAGCGGGCTGAGGCATGAGAAGTGTTGCCTGCTGTATGGAAATATGGTGTGCTTCCTTTTTTATGTTTTTACAGCTGCCTTCTTTTCTCGGATTGGCCAAATCGTCATCTGTCACTCGATTGTTAATTACTTGACAACCGGGAGGCGGTAAAATGCATACTTAAAGTTAAAAAGGCATTCAGCACTCAACGATGCACCCTGGAACTAAAAACGGACCCTAATTCTGTGCAGTATGCATCAGCATTGGGGATCTGCAGGCAATAGACAACAATTCTATTCCCTGGCAACCGTCCCTCCAAATCGCTTTGCGTGTCAGCATAAAACGTTGGCTATTTACAGCCTGTCTCGCCGTTGGATTGTGCCTCTGACTGTCTCGCCGTGTGAGTGCGCCTCTGACTGCCCCGCCGTGGGATTGTGCCTCTACCTGCCCCGCCGTGTGATTGTGCCTCTACCTGCCCCGCCGTGGGATTGTGCCTCTACCCGCCCCGCCGTGGGATTGTGCCTCTACCTGCCCCGCCGTGCTCCGCCGTGTCCATGTCCCGCCAGCTGCTCCCCACCGTGTCGCCGCGCTCGGGTGGCGTCTCACCCCTGTCTGCGGCGCTCTCGGCTGTCAGATTATCCCGCGGCCGGACGCCGGTGCCGGACCGGAGTCGGGCCGGCACCGCCGACAGCACTGACGGCCGCGGCCGGACCGCCGCCGCAGTTAGCCGGCCTCTGCCGCCGCACGCCGCCGCCGCCGCCGCCGCCAGGAAGGCCTCCGCCAAGGTACGGTCACTCTCCTCCGGGCGAGTCTGTGCTCTCTCGACCAGTCCGGAGCGGAACTTGTCGCCGTCGACGGGCAGACAACTTCCAAAGGGCGTGGCGCGCCGCAGCTGGCGCCTCGACGGCCCGTGTTACCAGGGGTCCGCAAGGCGCCGTCGCATCTGACACGCCCTGAATGATAGGACAAATCGCTGGAGGAGAATTATCGATGTTTTGATCCTTTGGCCCCATGATTAAGAAAATGCTTTTAAGAATGCATATTATGAAAACAATGAAGCCAACTGACTAAAATATACCTACCGTAGTCAGAAACGGCACATCGATATTATTTCTTTTGTCACTTTATTTGGCTTCCTTTTATCGCATGTGTCCTTGTTTCTTTGGTTATTTTTTTATAATATATTTCTTAATTGCTCAAAATTTTCATTTCTTACCCCGTTTTTCTCCCGTGCTGTTTTTATAAGGCGATTCCCGATTCGTTTCTTTTGTGTGTCACGTTTCGTCTTCAGCTGTTCGAATGTGCATATAAGGACCCGGAGTCCCAACAGTCATAATAGCGATATACCTAACTACGAGCTTGGGAGAACGAGAGGAACTCGCCAGATGCTGCCATTCGGGAGAGTGGGGCTATGCGTTACACTTTTTGGTCTTCTGCACGTAGTGGCCAAGCTATTCAATGAAATTGCACCAAATTTGGTCACATGCTAGCTGAATCAATTTGGAAAGCACATGTAAGCTTTCACTTCTTTACGACAATTCACTTTTATGTGAAATTCAGAAAGCCAAAGCAAGATTTTTGTGGTAAGTTGAAAAATTGTGGGGCAGCTTGATACACGATATGGGGTAACATGTTACAAGTTTCTTTTTTCGCAGTTTCTTCATCAGTATAACAGTCATTGGCCGTCCTATCGGAACCGATCGTAAGCCTCCCTAATGGATAATACTAAACATGCTTTCCTTTCTCATTGAAAGGCAAGAACAATAAAGCATAAACCATTACTGTACTCCACACGCATGAAAAGGCTCATCAAACATGGCTCAATCTCTGATTTGCCTTTACTGCGACGCCAAGGGCACCATGCATTGCCATACTGACCGGAGTTTGATTTTCTGCACGAAATTTACGCCCAGGTGAAATGGAGCGCGCTATAAGCAGTCTTGGGTAGCCATCTTTAACATGCCCTGGCCCTGCGGCGGCCGACTTTCACAGGACTGAACTCAAATGTTTGTTTACATGAAGAGGCTAGTGCGTTTTACTTGGTGATCTTACAAAAGAAATCATCGCTTAATTTTGTGAACATACATTCAACATTCTTACACAAATAACCTTGACAAAAAACGACCCAAAGTGTTGGCCAGCAAAAAATAGGTACTTTTGCTGCCACAACTTACCCCAGTGCGCCTACAGGGCGACATGGCGTTCCACCAGGTCTGAGCCTGCAGTGACATGTAGAATGTGCGTAACTTTCTGCAAGCGTAAATATTGGCGCCATATCAAGAGTATTTTTAAAAATATTTCCTTTTTAACAATCAATCAATCAATCAATCATGTATTCTTATAACACTCCACGTGGTGGCTCTTCCGGTTACGCGTCACATTTTACAATGGTACTCACATTCATGCACATTCACATTCATAATAAAAGGTAGGTATAAAAATAAAAAGTAGAAATAGGTACAAATAAAATGAGACATCAGATATTGGCTGGCTGGTGGTGCGATCATTGCGCCCGCCGAGTACAAGTCCGCGAGCTCGCCGAGTCGCGCGATACCGACTTGCTGCTGTTCCATGCGGAAACAGCACGGAATGCAAAGCAGCGACGAGCAATCTCTGTACGGACCCTGGGCAGCTCCAAGAGTCTGTCGGCTGTGCCTCGAGTGACACGGCTTGACACGGTCTCACGGTAAGTCACACGCTCTCTCAGGCACACAGGCGAACGAGGCGAGTGCAGAATCATGTGCATCGCCGCCAAATCACGCTGATTTAACAGATCGTCAAATCGCTGCCAGCCCAGCTCCGTCAGGAGGGGGGTCACGTGATCATACCGGCGAGCACCCTTCACAATACGAACACAATGGTTTATCACCTTCTGGATGCGGTGCCGCTGGGCCCTGCTGCAGCTCCCCCACACAGTCAAACAGTACATTAAATGAGGAAACACAAGTGCTTCAAGAAGTCTCTTTTTCACAGGCTCGGTCAGTCTTTGCGAAAATTTTGATAGACCACAGATGCATGCATAACAGCGCTTGATTACAGCTGACACGTGTGCCTCCCAGGTCAAGTTTTTGTCGACAACGACGCCTAATGTTTTAATAGACTGGGAGGGTTGAATAGTGGATGAGTCAAAGTCGATGGAAAACGTGCCTACCGAGCGCCGCTGGTGGGCATGCACCAGCATGAAATCTGTTTTGGTGGGATTGATTTTTAAACTGTTCTGCGAGAACCAGGCGTCAGCTATCCTTAAACTTTCCTCAATGCGCTCTTTCAACTTAGTAAAATCTTTTGGGTGACATGTGTGGATGAACTGCACATCGTCCGCGTACATTATGAGCCTACAACCAGTGATGTGAGATGAAAGGTCGTTTGTAAATAATAAAAATAAAATTGGTCCTAAAATTGATCCCTGGATCACACCATGACTCAGCGCAGTGGCGGCGCCACGAATTTTCGCCAGTGGGGGCAAGCTTCAGGTGACCCGACTGTTGCCTGATAACCCGATCTGCAAAATCCATGAGCTCCTTGCCCCTAGATGTTGCCAATTAGAAATTATCATGGTTTCAGGTTTCATGCATACGTATTGAGCTTCAGCATCAACCCTCCCGGGTCCGGAACGGGGGGGGCGTTTTTCGCCTCCCCTGGCGAATATTTGCGATACCACATGAACGTTTAGGAGTAGAAATACAAAACTTGCTGTACCTTATCCCCCCTTAATTTGAAATCTTTTGAAGCAAAACAAATTGGACCTAGCCTTCTTGATAACGTCTCAAGGCCGATTTTTTCTAGACTCCTGCACGGCAAACTTCGGCGTCACAGACGTGAACTTCAACCAGCTGCCAAAATAGAGTTTTAGAGGTAAAGACAAATAACGAGCACCGTTGTGTAGCATTTGACCTAGAAAAAATACGTAAGTAACTTTGGTGAACTGAGGTCAGAGGTCAGGTCAACGACCCCGAGCTAAGGCTTTAGTTTTTTTTTCGCAAATAACGTCAACAAAAATAGTCCTAGAGCTACGGCAGCGGTAGATACCTTCGCATTCGTCTCGTCGAGACGCGTCGAATGACATATATATTGTTTGGAAAAGGTCAAGTTTTATGTTGACCTCATGTAACCTCGAATGACGTCTGGTTGACTTTGACACATGAAAGGTTGTTACTGATGATTTCGTAGCCGCGGATCACGATTCTGGCATCCATTTTGCTTTAAGCATTAATTTAGAGCCTCAGGATGGCAAAACACGTCTTAATTATTTTGCCTGACTTAAATAAGTGAAATAGCCTCTAGCAAGGATACTCTCTTGTGACTTTGACCTTTTAGCAGCCTTGTATCGTAAGCTAAAGCACAAATAGGGGCCCGTTAAGCTTCAAAACATTTCAAAACATCTCTGAATTTAGTATACAAGGTAAAAGAAAAAGTGCAAAGTTTGTGGTCAATTTTGATCACGACCGTGACCGTGAATTTGAATGTTATGCACTGCACGTCATCGGAATCCCCAGACTCTCTTCTTTCGTTTAACATCCATTTTAGCCGGTTTTATGCACCATGTCGTCCTCTGGAACACGTACTTTGAGACCACTACAAAAGTGCCGGTTTTTGCCTGGGACCTTGACTTTTGACCTTGAAAATTGAGCTGAGGTCAAAAACTTTGGGTGTTATAAAATCTTATCGTAGATACCTTTCGTTTGGTACCATTTTTGTTTCCGTAGCTGCCTTATTTCCTTATTTAAGTACGGAGTTAGACAGGTGTGGGGGGTACCCCGGGCTGCGGTGGTTGGGAATACCCCCGGGCCCGGGCAGGTTAAGGTCGCGAGCAAATAAAACTATAAAACTAAATTACGAGACAGAAACCTGTGAAAACGTTATGTTGAGATGTAAAATGGTGTATTCCTCAAAACAGTTATCAGTACCTAGTTCTCTTTTTTACCGTAGTGCGAATATATGCGATTCTCTCACACACGATTGATACCAGAATAAGCTCTATTAGGGCGATCCACATAGGTACATTTCCAGATAACCCAGATATACATACCTACCTATCACATTTTGTCATACCTCCCTGAGCTCAGTCTCAGTCTGAGGGTTCCCAAAAGAGGGTGAACTCTTCTCTGGCCGATTTTGACAAGCTGCCTCTCAACCTCCTCGAGGTCAAGCTCGATGGCAGCCTTCTGGTGAATGAAAATAAGTAGGAGAATGAGTGGGGGTAGGAGATATGCGACAGACGGTCTGAGAACGAACGTTCTGCTGATGCACTTGATACGGGGATCGTCAAAAACAGGCGTACTATTATAACCGCCTATCATGAATGTTGCACCGGTCTTCTGTTCCCATTTCAACATCAGCCAAATTTTGTGGGGGCAAAAACATAGTCTTGCCCCCACGGCCTCCTGCCAGTAGGGGCAGTCTGCCCCCACTGCCCCCACGGTGGCGCCGCCCTTGACTCAGCGGCAAAACATCATGACCATCCCGCACACGCTGTCTGCGGCCACTCAGCCAATCACAGAACCAGTGCTGCTCAATACCATACCACGCGAGTTTTTCCAGGAGCCGGCCATGCTCGACGCTGTCAAAGGCTTTAGAGGTGTCAATCGCCGAAAGAGATGCAATTTGCCCTTTGTCCAAAGACTCAGTCAGATACATCACAGCATCGAGCATGGCCGTCTCCGTGGAGTGGCCGGGTCTAAATCCGTGCTGCTGCTCACACAGCACAGAGTTCACAGACAGGTACTCCATTAGCTGGTCGCACACAACACGTTCAGCTAATTTTGCGACAGTCGGCAAGATAGAAATAGGTCTGTAATTGTTTGGATCAGTTTTACTACCGGACTTATGAAGCGGTAAGACAGTAGCTAATTTCCAGTCAGGCGGTACGATACCAGACACAATGGAGGCGTTGATCACATGCAGCAAGTGGGGCCCGACAACCGAGAAAGTGTTGCGCAGCATAGAGACGGTGATGCCGTCCTCACCACAGGCCTTGGAAGCGCTCATGCCACTCAGCGCCCGGCTGAGCTCGGGTAGAGTTGCCGGCTTCACTCGGTAGGGGGCGCTGCACACCCGCGGCGGGCGAGGGCCGAGCGGCCGCGCGCCCGCCCGCCTCGCAGTAGCAGCGGCTGCAACGCTCTGACCCACGGTGGCGAAGTGTGCGTTCAGACGGTCCGCCAGCGCTGTCACATGTTCAGTAGGAAGAGGAGCCGGTCTCGTCTTGTTGGAAGATATCATGAAGCGTCGAATGTCCCTCCATGTTGTTTTCCTGGAATGACGGTAAGAGGTCTCGAAGAAGGTCGCACGGGCTCTGTACTGAGCACTCTTTGCTGCATTGCGACACGCACGGTATCTATCACGTGTGTCAGTGTCAGCAGCTCGGTCACACTCAGCACGCGCCTCGTCCCGCTCACGCATCGCATTTCGGACCTGCTCATCGTCAAGCCACGGACAGGGCCGGTGTCGCGTCTTGATTTTCACCAGCGGCATGTGACGATCGATGCAGGGAGACCACACCGACAGCCACGCTGACCACTTGTCACAGACGTCGGCCGAGTCGTACACCGAGCTCCAGTCGGCCACCAGCAGGTCGTAGCACAGCGCATCGACACTCAGCCGGCGCGTGGAGCGCAAGATCAGCTCGGCAGGCCGTCGTCTGTCGCGGCGCACCAGAACGTCGGCGGCGACGAGGTCATGGTCACTGGCGGAGCTCGGCACGACGCGTGCCACAGTAGTGACGTCAGAGCTCCGCACGATGACGTGGTCCAGGAGAGAGCCGGCCCTTGTCGGACGGTCGATCAGCTGCTTCAGCTGCAGGTCCTGCAACAGCTGAGTGTACCGCAGGACTCCGGGCTTAGCCGGGGACAACTGGTCAAAATTCAGGTCACCAAGCAGGTAGAGTGGTTTGCCGGTCTCCAGGACGTGCAACAGCTGATGCTCCAGGTCGTCTAGAGCGGCAGCAATGGGGCCACTGGGCGGACGGTAGGCCACGCCCATCACGTGGGACTCTCCCCTGGAGACTGTCACCCAGAGACTCTCCAGCGACGATCCCGCTGACGGCACACTCAGTCGCTCGACTCGATAGTCGTCTCGGTAAATAATAGCGACACCGCCTCCCCTCGCTGTGCGATCAAGGCGGACTATGCGGTAGCCCGGAAATA